ATTATAGTTATTACGTTGATAACCTGATATGAATACTGCGTATTTATATGAATATGTCACAAAGAAAACAGGACCAGCAACTTCGATTCGGGGGCTTTGCGGCCCCGATGAGTTTGAGGTTCATATATTTTCATAATCCGCGAACTGGGAATCTTTATGATATTAACGTACAGTCAGTGCCAGAATTATAGAACGGAGCCAGGAGGACAAAAGTACGGTAAAATACTGTACCTTTGTCCTCCTCCGGGTTCCGATTCGGAGCGGAGTCGGGAAATTTAATTATAGAACGGGGAGGAGGACAAAGGTACGGTATTTTACCGTACTTTTGTCCTCCTGGCTCCGTTCTATAATTTCTGGCACTGACAGGATATTTACTGCATATTTGTACATATACAATCTATAAAATGAAGATTTAATGAGGATTTGATGAGGAAATGAAGATAAAATGCAGATAAAATGAAGATTTGATGAGGAAACGAGGATAAAATGAGGATAAAATGAGGATAAAATGAGGATTTAATGGGGATTTGATGAGGAAATGAGGATAAAATGAAGATTTAATGAGGATTTAATGAGGATTTGATAAGGAAATGAAGATAAAATGATGATAAAATGAGGATTTGATGAGATAACGAGGATAAAATGAGGATGCTGTAACATGAGGATAATGGGAAATATGGGAAAAATGGGGGAAAACAGAATTATAGAACAATAGCGCTCCGACAAGAATTATAGAACGACGAGAAAAGCTAGGAGTAAATTCAGATACGTTTTTTTTCTACCTTCCGAGGAAAACAGAATTATAGAACAACAGGGTACGGTAAATAACCGTACCTTCGTACTCCTCAACTTCCGTTCAATAATTCTGTTTTCCCCCATTTTTCCCACATTTACCAGGTGATTTTCTAGATTTCACGGTGATTTTATAAGATTCCATGGTAATTTTATGGGATTTCATGGTAATTTTCTGGGATTTCACGGTGATTTTCTTAGATTTCATGGTGATTTTATAGGATTTCTGGGACCCCGGAAGAGGTGCTATAATTCTATAATTGGTTTTTCCGTTCTATAAATAATTTTTCCGTTCGACGGAAAAATTAATTATAGAACGGGGCCCGGGGAAAATTAATTATAGAACGAAAATGGGAAATGTGAGAAAAATGGGGGAAAACAGAATTATAGATACATTTGTTTTTCATACCTTCCGAGGAAAACAGAATTATAGAACAACAGGGTACGGTAAATAACCGTACCTTCGTCCTCCTCAACTTCCGTTCTATAATTCCGGCACTGACCATATATGAACCAAGCAGTATTTCATGGAGCGACGACGAGGGCTTTGAACATAAGATGATTTAGTTGTTTATCCCTGATGTTTCCTAACATAGCTGGAAGGATTGCTTAGGAGAGGTTTCCTCATGTTTGTTGACGAGATAATATCTTCGTTTTTGGCGGCTTGTCACCATTATTGCGCAGTCCCCGGGGACTGGGGCGCAGAACATTGCCGTGTTTGGTTGCTTAATTCTCTTAACTTAACCATCGTTGCTGAGCTAAATACCATTTGTTCGTCAGTTAAAAAATGGTTGACCCTGATCTGATCAGGGGCCGAGAGAAGTGGACTTGGACTTCAGGTACGAAAAACGGGGTGTTTCTCTGGGAGTTTCACGGGAATATGAGGTTTTGAACCACGATTTTCAGTTTGCTAAAACAGAACTTGTGTTGGGATGCTGTACTGGATCTTACTTGTAGACTTTATACATTTTATACCAATGAAGTATGAATATTTTGGAGACAGAGCAGCTTGCAGAGATTCCATTTTCTTGTATCATCTGTGGGCGATGCCCCAGCTATATCGTGGTGAAGCTGCAGGTGTGGCCAGATGGTGCTTACTACAAGGTCGGATCCAAGGATTCTTGTTGGGGACACTGGTGAAGGGTTGGGAACGTTGCTTAACGTTGCTTCAATGAACCAGGAAGCGTTGAAGAAGTTGTTTCGGCGGAAGCCCACTACTCTAATTATGACTCTAATTAGTAATTGGAACCCAAGTATCAACCAGAAATGAATGGAAGAACAAACATAACACACCAACAAACATCTAGTTTTGGGGGAAACACGACATGACTTCTTGGTCGGAGCGTCCTATCCCAGTCATGTGAGATGCAGCTGAGAAGGCATTTTAGCGCCCGCATCGGAGACGCCTAAGGTAAGATACACTTATGAGATCTAATGAATCTAATAAGCATTCACATAGCCTTCGGAAATTTAACATAGCTATGGGAAATCACCATCTTTGACAAGCAAATCATCTATAAGTGGGCCATGTGTAACAAAAACTATGTGAGTCAGGTTGCTGAAGGGTAAGTGCACATAGTGCACATAGAACAAAGATCACAACATGAAACATGGCTGATTGGTGGTTTGGAATATGAATTGTATTTTTCCATTCAGTTGGGAATGTCATCATCCCAACTGACGAGCATATTTTTCAGAGGGGTAGGGCTCAACCACCAACCAGATGACTCTGAATCCAGGTCACACATTTTTCATCATTTTTCAGCTGCCAGGGCTTCTGGAAGAATAACATGGCCAGCGGCAAAGGAACGTTTGGCTCTGAGTGCTGAAAAATGGCGTCTCGAAATGGGCTATCCCGGCTATCCCGGCTTTGAATGGCAATTGGAGTGGGTAAAATGATGAAGAGATGAACATTGATGGACCGTAGGATTTTGGAATACTTCATTTCCAGACAGAGCCCAAAGCCGAAAAAACTTCTGGCAAAACCGTTTCATTCATGTAGAACAGAGCCGTGCTAATTACACAACTTTGCAAAGGAAACTGGCAACAAGAGTCCTGCAATATCCTGCCTAAGACTTTAAGATCTAGGTTTGGACTATTTCCATTCGGCGCAAACTGAGGTTCAAACACTCCAATGGCGTTTTCTATGTCGGTCAGTGGAGGTGCAAAGTGAATTGATTTGAGTAGGAGAGGTCAGTGAGGTCACCATTCAAAACCACCTGGAACTTGCAAACTCAACTTGGGACGTTGGGACGTTATTCACATTCAGTCGTCAGTCGCCAGACGTCTATGTTCATGGGTATCCCGGATCGGTAATCAAGCAACATGGCAGTTGAAAATCCAGCCATGGAGGTTTTTGTTACTGGGAAAATCAACGAACCTGGCAGTGAATGGTGGATTTTTTACCTTTATTATATTATATTATAGAAGCTGATGGATATGAGAAAATCCATTCCGCAAGCCATAGAGCTGATGACACCAGAGGCTAACTTATGTAACTTCGTATTCATTCCACTTTTAATCGTTATGTATATTAACCGTTATATCCCATTGCAGTAAATCTCTATTAAACAACCATTGGGATATCCCTTTTTAATCCCACTAAATCCCAATAATATCCAATTATATAACTCCCTATTAACCATGATATGTTATATATTATATTATATTATATTATATTATATTATATTATATTATATTATATTAATTATATTATATTATATTATATATTAGAAAAATATTAGTTTATATATATATATATATCCCGATGATATCACATGAAAACCACAAAGAAAACATACATTCCATCAAAAAAACATGAACAACATATGTTCCATGGGAAAAATCTGTGATTTTTTTCGCTCTGGGACCTGTCAGCGAGGCACTCCCAGGCGCACGGCTTGGGGATTTACTATGATGAAGAACGCATCACCTATGCAGGTGCCAACTCGTCGTATGATGGGGATCTAACCGGTGAAAACCAGAAAAACGATGGTTATGTTTAACCCAAAGACCCTGCCAACAAAACTTTGGTGATTTAACTGACATTATTTTAGCATCAGAATTGGAATTTCACCATTTAACCGGATTTAACGAAGAAAAATGAAGATTCAATGGGGATTTATCCTCCAGTAAACAAACATATTCCAGCTGTGGTTTGTTGGCCTATTTAGTGGGATGACTTGCCCTTACCCGAAATGGAGTTTTACATAGCAATTTTAACTACCAGAGAGCCTATCATTCATTGGCATAGGTCTTCAAAATTCTATATTCTATATCATGTTCATCTCTTAACTTGTGCCATGGTCATCAGTCTTTCTGAAGCTTGGGATTCCCTTCAAACATGAATTTAAAATAATTAGGAATCCCATTATTGTGTGGGATTCCTATGAAATGGGATGGATTGAGTTTATCCATATATTTATAAACATGTTTATAGGGTATCCCATGATTCCTATGTTTATATGGATGATTCCATATGAAATATATTAATATACTATAATATGGATTATACCCAATATATATAATATTATGGATTATAATATGGATGATTTCATTATGAATCGCTACAGATTAGTAGGTATTAACAGATATTAGCCACTATTTATGGATATATTCCCATCTTTTGACCATGACACTTTCATAGTGGCAATCTTTAATATCTCGGCATCAACTTTGTCGACATGAACATTTGTGGTCGCCGCCATTCTGTGGAACATGTTGGAACCATTACATATCTAAATGGTATTCCATTATGTATTCCAATTGTATTCCATTATATATCCAATTATATATCCCGTTATCTCATTTAATCCATATGGAGGTTTCCTAAGTCATGGGGGTACCCCTAAATCATCCATGTATACATGGATTTTCCATGATAAACTATCCATTTTGGGGTACTACCTCCATTTGTGGAAACCCCCATATCTATCCCATTCTAGGATATATATATATATATAGATATCTCATATATCATTTATATATATATATAATCCCATTAATTTATATCCATGATATATCCATTTATATAGACATAGATCTATATTCTACTGTGGATTTCATGACGGATCCTTCAGTTCCTTACCTGGCGAGGTGAATGGATGGATGACCAACCTGGAGGTCTTGGCAACTTCGTCAGCATCTGACCAAACATCAACGGGAGATCTTCAGGATCCTACGGAAAAACTGTACCATAGAAGGCCATATTCCCTTACCCTCTGGCAATGACTAACATAGCTATTGAAAATGGCCATAGAAATCGTGAGTTTTCCCATTAAAAATGGTGATGTTCCATAGTTTTTTGTATGTTTACCAGAGGGTACATAGGCCTTATATAGGCCTTATATAGGCCTTATATAGGCCTTATATATGGTAGGTACCTCCAATGAATCGGTTCCTGAGTCATGGCCATTGAAAACTGCATGTCTAGATATGTTGATGGCTACCAACGGTATGTGTCGCTAGGAAGGTCTAGGTAGTTTTCAGTTTCGAAAATTGTTGTTTACGCAGATTATTTATGATTATTTATAATCCAAGTAGAAGATAGTAAAAGTATGTAGAAGTGAACAATTATATAAGTCTTGCACAAGGCACTATTGGTTGGTCATTTTTTTATTGTTGCTTTCCTGGGGTAGAATTGGAATGGGTCGCAAAACGAAGCGATGGTGGTCAACCCTTTTTTGCGCCACAGCAAGTCGGGTGTGATTTCATTTCATGGATATATCAAACTAGTTAGATGAGGCTATATCCTCCGATAATGAAACATTGCTAGCTGGGAAAAGCATCTATGATTCAGGATTTTCGAGCAAACCATGTTTGATTACCAGAGCGTAACTTGATGTCATCCCACTATTACTCACTATGAATGGATATTAACCATTTTAGATCCCCATTTTGGAAGCTGTGTCCACCTTGAGATATCACTCGGGGGCCCTTCCTGTGACTTCCTTTGCCATGACAAAAGTGCGAAAACCGTCGGCTTCTGCATCCCCGATTGAGTCTTCAAAGGCCATTTCATAGTCAGAAGAAGGTCATTCTGGCCATGATTCAATGGATTGGTTTAAGGGAAAAGTTACAGGAAAAACTCATATTTAATGGGAAAATCCATGGCTTCCGGTTTCGATTTTCCCTTAAACCAATCCATTGAATGATGCTTTAGAGACTCAACATGGCTGGAGGCAAATACAAATATACAGATAGATGGACAGATACTTAGATCGACGGGCAGATAGACAGAGAGATCGATAGGTAGATATGTAGATATACACAAATATACACCAATATACACACATATACATGTTTACAGTATATACATACATATACACATATAAACAAAATGTTTGCTTTTCGCTCCCAAAACACACACATTTGGGGAGTTGTTTGGCTGAATTTGATCAACATTGAATACATGATACGTTTCTACATGAAAGGTATGCTTTGTCTTGATCTCGGCCGTTCTGTTAATTTCTTTAGTCAGGGTACCTCTTATGAAATGAGTGGCATTGATGGTTCCCCATTCCTCATTTTCTGCGTTAAACGGCAGGCATCCCCACACTTGGAGGTGCTTAGGGTTTGGACCAAACGTATCCACATCAGCTTCTCTGGAGTGAAATTGCATTCCAACATGGGTCTGAAAATGGAGTTGTTTTTTCTGGTTGGTGGTTTGGAACTTGTTCTTTTCCATATATTGGGAATAATATTCCCGTTTGACTAATATTTTTCAGAGGGGTTGAAACCACCAACCAGGGAGTGGTTTTTTTGTATGCTTCCTTTCTGTTGGCAAGCATTATAATCATTAAACATTGCCAACATTTTCCCATCAAACATTGTCCCATCATGTCCCATCCAAAAAATCCAAAGGGAAATTAAGAAGATAATCCATCAAAAGAGGCCTTCCTGTAATCAAACGTGGCTAGGAAGCTTCTAGCTGGAATAACAACGGACTATTGCTGGTGGATTTTCCAGCAAGCCACGTTAAATTACCGGATGGCAAATCACCATTAACCCCTTCCCTACATCACCCATTTATACAATTACTCTACTTCGTGTGATCCCCACCATGACATGTCAGGACGTATATTTGGACATATATTTAGTATATTCTGACATCCTATCTGACATATATTCTGGCATATATTCTGGCATTCTATCTGGCATATATCCTGACATTCCACCTGGCATTCTATCTGGCAGTCTATCTGGCATTCTATCTGACATATTTTCTGACATTTCATCTGACATATATTCTGGCATTCTACCTGTCATTTATTCTGACATATATTCTGGCATTCTATCTGACATATATTCTGGCATATATTCTGGCATTCTATCTGGCATTATATCTGACATATATTTTGGCATTCTATCTGACATATATTCTGGCATATATGTTGGCATTCTATCTGGCATTATATCTGACATTCTATCTGACAGTCTGGCATTCTATCTGGCATTATATCTGACATATATTCTATCTGGCATATATTCTGGCATTCATTCTATCTGGCATTATATCTGACATTCTGATCTGACATTCTATCTGGCAGTCTATCTGGCATGCTATCTGGCATTCTTTCTGGCATTCTTTCTGGCATTCTATCTGGCATTCTATCTGGCATCCTATCTGACATTCTATCTGGCATTCTATCTGGCATTCTTTCTGGCATTCTTTCTGGCATTCTATCTGGCATTCTATCTGGCATCCTATCTGACATTCTATCTGGCATTCTATCTGGCAGTCTATCTGACATTCCTACATGAGGTCCGGCAGGGAACACTTGGCGTGGATGGTCGCAGTTGAGGTCCGGCAGGGAACACTGGGCGTGGATGGTCGTGGTTGAGGTCCGGCAGGGAACACTGGGCGCGGATGGTCGTGGTTGAGGTCCGGCAGGGAACACTGGGCGCGGATGGTCGTGGTTGAGGTCCGGCAGGGAACACTGGGCGTGGATGGTCGTGGTTGAGGTCCGGCAGAGAACACTGTGGATCGCGGGTCGCAGTTGAGCAAGGACGACGAGGACGACAAGGACGACAAGGATGACAAGGAGGACGAGGAGGAGGAGGACGAGGCAGGAGGAGGCGGAGGAGGAGGAGCAGGAGGAGGAGGCAACTGACATAAAATCTAACAACCCTCACCTGGCAGGTGGGGAAAAAACATCAAAAAACATTTATATATATATATTATATATATATTGATAAGCATAATGATACTGGGTTCATGTCGTTTCTTGTCTCGTCTCCCCTGAAGTTGCTCTCGTCTTCCCAGTAATAATAAATATATATATATACAATAATAATAATAATTTTTATAATATATCTAAAACTATTACTATATATATATAATGATTCATATTCCCATTGCTCTCCATCAAATGTTGGATCAAACTTCCCCTCAAAGTGTCAGCTACTTTTGCCGCAAGGTTACCGACCTGCTAAGGTGAAGCCACATGGACTGACTCGCTTGGGGAGCCCGGTGCACGTTGCACGTTGCGACTGGGGGTTGGTGTTTCGAATTTACATAAGCATGCAGAGGTATAACATGTATAATATGTGTAGCATGTGTGATATCTATAATATGTATAATGTGAATAAATTGAATAACATGAATAATATGTGTAATATAATGAATAATATGTATAAGATGAAATGTAGAAACCATATGAACATTTGAACCACGTTCTAAACCCTTGTGTTCATGTTAAGCAAGGGGCCCCTTGTAAGGGTGTGGCGTAAGCATTTCCTTATTTGGTGCCAGGAGGATCCAGGATGTAAGACATTTAGAACATGGCTCGTATGTAATATGTGTAAATGTATAACACGTATAGAATGTTGATTTTGTATGACATACATGTGCGCATATATATATATATATACACACATGTGTATACTTCCTGATATTGTAGAGTGTATGGTGCTATATACGGATTGACTTTCATTTGTACAACAAGGATTGCGTACGGACTTTACGTGATTACTTGGATTTATAGGTACACCACCATATTTTTTGCGAGTTGTAGTTATAGTTATAGTTAAGTATAGTTCTATTTTTTGGGAGTAGTGTGTTGCCATTTTCATAGTTAATTCTTATCATTATATTTTACCATATAGATTTACGGTAGATGCATCCGCTTATGTCCGACTAAAACTAGTTATTCTCAATATGGGGGGTTTCGTAAAATAGGGGTACCCCCAAATCATCCACTTTTGTTTGGGATTTTCCATTATACCCTCTGGTAATTTCACATAGCTATTGAAAATGGCCATTTACAGTGAATTTTCCCACTAAAAATGGTGATTTTCCATAGCTATGTTAGTTTACCAGAGGGTAAGCCATCCATTTTTGTGGTACCCCCATTGAATGGGTCACCCAGAGGGTGAGTCGCTGTGAGGTCCAAATATGCCGGGAACTTCCTGAGAGGCGCAAAACATGGCGCCGGAGACACTTGACTCGCTGCAGCGGGGTTTTTTGTGGAACTTTGATCAGTAACAGTTGAGGTGTAGCTACGAGGTGGTGCCCCCAAGATAGCTAAGTTGGTTTATAACTCCAATAACTATGGTTTTTGTTGGTGATATATCGAACTGGTTAATGGGGTTTATAAACCAATTTATAACGTTTGGGGGCACCACCTTGTACGAGAATGCTGGTTTTAGCAAGGGAAATGGAAGTTATCTATACAACACTGGGATATCATGAACAATAAAACTGCAACAACACTTAGCAATCGTGGGGATGAGATACAACAGCATGAAAACAATAGTTTAAACATATAAGTGGAAGGAAATCCAACAGACACTGGGAAACATTCTACTTATATACACATTATATATATATATATATACATATAAATATTATATATATATATATACATTATATATACATATATATATACACATTATATCTATTTACATATATATATATACACATTATATCTATTTACATATATGTACATATGTATATATATATACACATTATTATATATATATAAACAGATATGGAACTACCTCGGGAGATCTTTCCAGTTGCGACGGGGAATTTCACCAAGGAATACACCTGGCCAGATGGCTCCAAATTCACTGGCCAGTTCCAGCACAACAGGGGCATGTTTTTTGACGGTGGACCCCGGTGGAAAGACATGAGTTGAAACTCAACGGATTCGCTTGGGATATGTTTGGGATATTTTTTTGGGATGTGTTTGGGATATGTGACTGTGGGTTCTGGTTTGATCCTGAAGTGTGGGAGGATCCAATGTAGTGTTTTGTCTGAACTCAAGTTGTAGAGCTAGTAGATACCCTCTGGTAATTTAACAAGCCATTTTTATAGTTGATTTACCTATTGAAAATCGTGATGTTCTACAGCTATGTAAACGTTTACCAGAGGTTATTTTGTAATGGCATCTATTGCATTCTATTGCTATTTATCCGTGTAGAATCGCATGCCATGATGCTCCATAGATGGTTTGAGGACTATGCCTGACTATGCAGCATGGCACACATACAATCGTATAGTTTTACATTTAAATGGTGGTGTATGCGAAGTATATAATAACATTATGTAAATACCACATATATACCATATATATATATATATTGGATATATATATATACTGGGTATATATATATATATATATACTGGATATATATATATATAGGATATTTATGATACTTGATACATATCATAATTATCATAAACATATACATGTCGTGATATGGCTATCATATACATAAATATACATATTATCATATTTATCATGGTACTATCATATGTACTTCATGCCAGGATTCATGGCAGTGGAACCTGGAGCAGCATCACTGGTGATAGGCCTGGCGTAGCGTGGGAAGTGGCTGTTGATCAAAAATTGGGGTTGAACCATCAAAAATGGGGATCCAGCCAGTTAACCAACAAAGATGGTGAATTAATCATCAAAGACGGAGGGTTTGACCAGATTGAACGAAGAAACATGAAAGTTCAATGGGGATTTACCCGCCAGAAAACTAACACAGCTATGTTTTTTGACGCATGAAAGTAGGTTAAATTTCGCTACGACACCCTCTGTGATTTTCCAGTTCGCTATGTTAAACTGCCAGAGCGCACCAAGCATCAAAAATTGGGAACCGTCAGAAATATGGGGAGCTAAGCATCAACATCCAGAAAAACAAAAGGATGTTCAATGGATTGGTTGGAAAGCCTGCAGGAAACCAACACATCTGATTTTGGGGGGACCGAGGCGTGCGATTTCCTTTTTTACCAGTTTTCCATTGATTTTTCAATGAGTCAAACTGAGTCAAACTCTCAAAGCGTATGATGTTTATTGATTTTCCATGTATTTTCCAAGAATTTCGTGTTTGATGAAGCATTTTCAGAGTCCTTGTCTGATGTCCATAGATTGGGATGAACATCTACCAGAATCTACCAGGTACCTGAGTTTCTTCAACAAAAAAACAGTGTTTTCTCGCCTTCAACATGCCCTCAGCTAAAACTACGTGACTTCGTGAGATGGTCCTAAAATATATTTTGTTTTTCCCGGAGGTGGTCATTGGGATTGAAGACCTGGGGATCCCTCTTCTGTCTCTGGAATTACTGAATGTTACCCATCCAGGACTCCTCCCCTGAGAGGTATACCGGTCAATGGAAAGTTTCTTTGAAACATGGCCTGGGTCGCTATCAGCTCGCAGACGGTGGCGGGCTCAGTACGGTGGCTGGATGACTTAAAAATGACTTGGACATTTGCTTGTTGTACCCTCTGGTAAACGTTTACATAATTATGGAAAATCACCATTTTTAATGGGAAAATCCACTATTTCAATGGCCATTTTCAATAGCTATGTAACAAATTACCAGAGGGTATCTTGTTGTCATGTTTCCAAGCAAAAATGATCAGGCATTCTTGCGAGCCATCCGTAAACAACCCCCAACCATTGGAAGGCAATGGAAGGATCAAATGGGGATGCGTCAAAACCCTGGTACCTAGTGAACCCCAAGTCATAGCTGGGATTTATCGGGATTTATGGATGTGAATAACCCACTAAAATGTATCTATAATTATCTATAGATATTGACCCATACCCAAATGTTGCGATGCGAAATCCTAAATTTATCCTGATCAGTGACCCCCTCCAGAGTGCCCTTCGAAACGCGCCAGGTCAAGTCTATTCTGGACACTATGTGGATGGTGAGAAGGTCTAAAAGCCGGTGGTTTGGCTATCTGATCTATGGATATCTATGGCAATCTATGGCAATCTATGGTTTTTTTGATGTTCATATCCCCAGATAACTTGATAACTGGTATAGCATGAAGTATCATTATCGTTCATTATTTGATATGTCATTGGTTCCCATTCATTATTATCCCGCATGAGTCCGATTCAATGGCAGTGTGATTTTCGAGATATTCAGAACGCCCCAACTTTGTTTGTCCAAATTTCAGGTAGTCATTCACGACCAAAGGCACAGATAGAATGAAACGTGGAAGCTGGTAGCGATCTTGGGGTCACCCTGAGTGACCGTTTGGACAACACCACTGGAAACAGGACCCAGTATCCTTGTGGATTAACCGCAATTTAAGACAAGTTATATCTCATAAGTTAAGATAGTTAAGACGTGTGAAAATAAGTTAAGGCAATTGAAGATAAGTTCAGTTAGAGTACGTTAAGATAAGTTAAGATAATTTTTGACATGTTCCGTATTGATTTGATCTTTCAGATGGCAAGTTAAGGGAACACCTGCTTTTCCCTGGCCATAGGCACGTGCTGTGCGGGGACACTAGGGATTAAACCTTTGGAATTCTGACTTTAAGGCACATCCCCGCGGAATTGGAATGTTGATTGTTTGGGTAATTATCGAATAGTTTCAGCACTGATTGCAGTGAAACTGCGGAATATGAATGTGAAACTTGAGTGTCCTATACCATCTATACCTATCGCACTGATTGTCTTGCACCATAGCAGCCGGCTCGGATGCCCCAGTCAGACTGATCGATTGTTTCCCCACCAGCCAGGTGAGGGTCTCTAGATTTTAACCAAGGTGCAACTGCTCTGGATGCAGTGGGCGCCTGGACCCGAACACATGCCAAAGAGAATGCCAGAATAGATGCCAGAAAGAATGTCAGATAGAATGTCAGAATATATACACTATATATATATATATATATACACACACTAGTCACTAGTATGTATATATATATATATATACACTAGTAAATATATATATATATGAATGTATGTATATACACTTGATGGTATGTCAGAAACTATGTCAGAATGTTGTGTGTCAGGGTGGGGATCATCCCATTCCCAGAGTCACCATGGAAACTTGGGGATGGGATGAAACCTGACATCCTTTGGTCATACTTCTTCTGCGAGGTTGATCCCATTCCCCCCCATGGAAAGTCATGGAAGATGATGAGAAAAGCCGGTGGAATTTGATGGATGTTCAACAACTTTTATAGATACTGGTTGGTGGTTTGGAACAGTTTTTATTTTTCCATTATCCCAACTGACTTTCACTCCATCATTTTTCAGAGGGGTAGGTCTAGCACCAACCAGTATATCATTACATCCTATGATATCCCAATTTTAAGGGTTGCTGGTATATTCCCACAACAGATTAATCGATGATATTTTACCATAGAAATATGGCGTATGTTCCCCGGCTGATCCCGGCTGATCCCCGTCACAGGACGGATTTGGCATTTTCGAGTGGAGCAATGGCATGAGCTGGGAAGCGAAGTCAGGGTCCGGGATTTTCCACGATGGATTGCGATCTTCCCTAATTGAATAACAGTACAATATTAGTAGAATCCCAGATAATCCCATAGAATCATTAGGCAACCGGGGTTTTGAACTCTCAAACAGTCTGAATTCAGGACGAGAACTAATTCTAGTCATCTAGGTACTGGTTCTCCGTCATCTCAGACGAAACCAGTCGCGCTGGACTTGCAGCAGTTGATGGGTGTTGTCACTGTGCCGATTTCTGAATTTATCTTGAAACTGGCTCCACGATGCTGATGTCAAAAGTAATCCCATCTGTTCATATTAACCACCCCTAAGAAATCATGGTTTCGTTAAAAGATTTCCGCGAAAAAATGTGACCATTGATGGTGTGTTTCACGGGTTTAATCTGAACGAGCAGAACAAGGGATAGGATTCGTCACTTTGAAACACAGAAATCTCTCTGGTGGGTGGCTTGAAAATGGTTCAAATGTCTGTGTGTTTTGGTGTGTTCCCGGATTTAAGATAGCAAATTTAAATCACGATAATAATAGGAATCTTTAATTGTAACATGAGGTTTCCCAATAATGAGAAACTAATGGATGGAAAGGGAGATCCTATTTCCAGACATGCTTCAAATGTCTCTTTTGTTTTCCATCTTTGGGATGACGACGGGCTCTAACTTCCGGACTTTTAAGCAGAAGTTGATACGCCCATTATTATTGTTAGTGATTAATATTATCATTTTTATTATTACTAATTACTCTTACTATTCTTACTATCAATTGTTATACTATCACTATGCTGAGTTTTTTTTATTCCAATAGACGCATCCCCCAATATTAACCAACCCCCAGAAACAGTGGTGGCGCTGATCCCTTCCATCCACTTGATCATCAAATTCCCTCTGGTAAATTATATAACGGTTTGCTATTGAAAATGGCCATTGAAATAGTTGATTTACCCATTAAAGATGGTAATTTTCCATAGTTATGTATAGTTATGTTAGTTTACCAGAGAGTACTCTCTGGTAATTCAAGGTAAATATCGAACATCACATTTTTTTTCATGGGTAAAACTCCTCAAATTTTCAGTCGATGGCTGGTGGTGCACCGTGGCCTCAGGTTACAAAGGTTACTGGGTGGCCGGACATCCAGCAGCCGTGGCAGCCGGCACGTTAGAGGTGCTGCTGAAAGTCCGACAAAAGATGTTGGGTGATGAGACGGAGATCTGGTTGGTGGTTTGGAATATGTTTTATTTTTCCATTCAGTTGGGAATAATAATCCCATTTTTATGGGTGGTATAAACCATTAAACATGTGGTGGATTATTATAATTCTGGTTGGTGGTGACTGGAACATGGCTATTACCCTCTGGTAAATCAACAGTTGGACCCTGAAAATCACCCATTTTTAATGGAAACTAGTCTTCCAACCCCGATGACTGCCAGGGTCGAACTGTTAATTTACCAGAGGCTATTTTTCATAATATATGGATATATATATATATGGGATAATCCTTCCCATTGACTAATATTTTTCAGAGGAGTTGAAACCACCAACCAGAGATTGCTTTCAGATTTCACCGCAACAACGGTGGTTGTGGTTGAATCATGACAAGAATGGGGATTGAATCATGAAACATCCATGGGTTTTTTACAACACCTGAATTTTCGTTTTTTAAAAAACATTCGTTAAAGGGGACATGAATCAACAGAAAAGGGGGATTGAATCATGAACTAAACCTGCATTTATCAACAAACATGTTGATTTACCCTCTGGTAATTTAACATAGCTATTGAAAATGGCCATTTATAGTGGATTTACCCATTAAAAATGGGGATTTTCCATAGCTATGTTAAATTACCAGAGGGTAATATGATTTCACATGATTTAATCATGAAACATTGGTGGTACAATGATGACGACCTCATGTTGGGACGTCAAAAAAGGCTCAGGATTGGAGCAACTTCCCATTTTAATCGCCTTACTTATACGTAGATTCATTATTCAGATGAATCATTAGCAAACTATTTTGGATGACCCATCTGATTTCAGGATTTCAGAGCGAATTCTTATAGTTTCGTGACCCAGATGAACAGAGTTTTTCCCCTTTTGCTGTGGATCGTTTCCACCGAGAAGTAATCTTCGCCCCCGAGATCTGCTCTGGGGAAGGCTCATCTTGTGGCTTTGTGGTGGAGAGTCATGGATAGTCATGGATAGTTTGGATATGTCATAGTGTCAATGGGAATTTCAGGATCCTAAAATGGAGGTACGTTAGTACCATATAAGGCCATATATTGGGGGAATATTCCCTTACATAGGCCTGAAAAATAGGCCTTATATATATGGTAGGTACCTCCAATCAATCGGTTCCTGAAATGGCCATTGATAGTGGATACCCCAACTTGCCATGAGGATCCTCTGCGTTCTGCGCTTCAAATTTCAGGCTCCTGCAGATGATGGACTCAAGGCGGGACAGCAAATTTCGGCAAAGGGGGAAGTGAAGTCAAGTTCAATCTCTATCCAGTCCCATTCAGTTCCAGTATGATTTGGGCTTGGAGTTATCACGTCCGAAAAACGCTGCCAAAACGGAGGTGATTGGATTTTCTTCCAATACGTTCAGTTGTGACATGCAGCCGCGTGAAGATGGTATTTCATACAGGTTACATGAAACTTATCGACTCCAAGATGCCAGACTTTGACTCAATGCAAAACCATGGGTGTTGTTGGGTATAGCCTCGTCAGGTGAAGGGTAGAATCTACCTCATTGCTTCTTCAATCAATTCAATCCCGACAGTTCTTGCTTAAATCCTTGATGTAGACGTACGTGGCAGGCTATTTTACGTGTACCTTTTGTTTGCATGAACACATGCATGTATGATCATTGTAGGTACATGACATATTTACGCCTAACACGATGTAATACAATAGGATACCTCATATATCATTTATCGTATATTATATATCAGATATCACATATCATATATCAAATATCGCATATCATATATCAATTTTAATATCAAACAATATATATATATAAATATAAATATAATTAAATATATATATATATATACGATATACAATATTTATACAGGCACAGCAGACAACATCAGCCAGGTCCAGGCAGTGAGTTCTCAGCTGTCAGACAGTCAGCTGCGCCGCGTGTGACGCGACGTGGGGAACGGACATGGAGAGGGACCATTGGGTCCCCAGTAAGATTGAGATATAAAGACTTAAATAATGATCTATCATATGGTCTATCATGTTCTAATATGTTAATATGTTATAACATATTTATCAAAAAATGAAATTGACCCAGGTTTAATATTGATTAGACATAGATAATGACCCATTTGATTAGAGTTTTTCACCCCAGACCCACCAAATCCCCGAGCTCCAAAAAACCTCAAGCTCCCATCGCTCCACAACAACGGCGCTGTGAAACAACGGGGTCCAAGACCTCCGTTCTTTCACGGTGCAAATTGGCATGGTAAGTGGCCCAGGGAAACTGGTGAAGATTGCTGAATTCCGAATCTATGAATATATATATATATATTATAATATACATGGATGATGTGTAAATCCAATATGTATCCATATATGTAACATAGATCCCTAATATGAATATATGCATATATATATATATACCCATAGGATCCATGGTGCTGCTATATATGGTGTGCCATGGATCCCATCAATATACCCCAGTCATGTTAGCATATATACCAGCACCATGGATCCTATGGGATATATATTATAATATACATGGAATGCCTTAAGTGATGTTTTTGATTGGTGAAAAGCAAGTGGCATTTGCTTCTGCCCTGGGTCTACTGCCAGTGCCTGGAATGCCACGTCACGTGGGAGTTTTTTTCGACGTCGAACGAAAAAGTCGGGTCATGGGATTTCTATGGGATTTCTATGGGATTTCTTGGAAAAGCTGAGAATTGGACCCAATCCGGTGGTAAATCGTTACATTTATCGTTACATTTATTCCGTTGAAATCGTTGAAATGACCATGAAATATGATGAGTTTCATGGGTATCGCCCATTTTCAGACACACCCAGATGCCGTTTTATAGTTCCACTACAGCCTATGTTCAGCCGTAACTACTTCATGGTTTCTTTAGATACGGAGTTTTTAGGCCGAAATTACAGGTGGTGTCCCCAAGGTGACAGCTTGGTTGGTTTAGTTCACGAGGCTAGGATTCCTGCTAGATCTAATATGGAGTTTTCCTATAAGCCATAGTAAATCATAGGGATAGCCCCAGTTCGAAAATGTGCTCAGACCATTTATTTTACTCGTTTGAAACCTTTGAGTCTGAGATCCTTTTTTGTGACTCATGAGATTTAGAAACTACTCTTGAGTCACCTAACTTACTTAAGTTGAAACCTATGGAAACCTATGGAAACCTATGCTGACACCTAGGGATCCACTACGAAACCCAGAAACGTGTCGTTCACCAGGTACCTCATCGAGGTTTGGAAGGTCATCGGCATGGACATGTCCAAGGCGGACCCGGACCAGCCAGGGTTAGTTGCAGCCACAGCTGCAATCCCAAGGCCCCAATAATAGGTACCAATCTATAATCTATTATTTACTATACCATAGCATGCCACATTCCTGGGGATAATCTATTATTTTATCATAATTTATGGCCTAAATTTTAACCATGTCATAGTCTATAATATTCTATAAGCTCATTGAGATTTAGAATTGTCTTTCTAAATGTCTATGATATAGTGCTCATGAACCGTGATTAACCATGTTTAGCCATGAACTGAAACATTACTGGGTCAACCGACTGGTTAGATACTAACTAGTACAACTTAATCTTTTGCTAGGAATGGTAAAATTGGATATATATATATATATACGTATATATATATATTTTTTGGCAGCTATCTAAGATTCACCATAAAAATGATAGACCAAACCAATGCATGATTTGGGACTTCCGACAATAGATGGATGGATAGATAGATGGATAGATCGTTGGCTGGATACATGGATAAATAGATACATAGGTAAGAGATCAATAGGTAAGATAGATAGGATAGGATAGGATAAGATAGGATAGGATAGGATAGAAAGATAGATTGAGATAGATTATGATAGATTTAGATAGTGTTAGATAGATTTTGATAGATTTAGATAGATATAGATATAGATTTAGATTTCAATATATTTAAATAGAATTAAATAGATTTAGATAGATTTAGATAGATTTAGATAGACTTAGATAGACTTAGATAGTCTTAGATAGACTTAGATAGACTTTGATATAATTAGATAGAAATAGGTAGATATCGATCAAGATAGATAGAGATAGATAGAGATAGATGGAGATAGATGGATATAGATAGAAATAGATAGAGCTAGATAGAGATAGATAGAGATAGATAGAGATAGATAGAGATAGATAGAGATAGATGGAGATAGATAGAGATAGATAGAGATAGATAGAGATAGATAGAGATATATAGAGAGATAGATAGAGATAGATAGAGATCGATAGAGATAAATAGAGATATATAGAGAGATAGATAGAGATCCAAAGAGATCGATAGAGATAGATAGGTAGATAGATAGATAGGTAGATAGATAGATAGGTAGATAGATAGAAAGATAGATAGATAAATGGAATAGTTAGTTAGTTATTGAGTTAGTTAGTAGTTTGTTAGTTAGATAGATATACATATTAGATAGGCAAATCTTTATGTATAGAAAGATAATCTTAGATATATCTATATATATATATATCAATGTGAAAACACACTTACATATTGAATTTACACATCATAGTGTCATAACAAAACCGGACGGCCGGATGCAGGTGAAGTTCCTCTGGTCCTCGGAGGAAATCAGCAACCGCGCGGAAGAGTACTGGGGCCAGGCCCAGACCTCCAGACGACGAGTCCGGCGAGTGATGCGTACCGTATACGGGGGGTTAAGTGGCTTCTCAGCAAGTGTTTGGATCCGTAAGGGATAGTTATATCATGTTATACAGTATATCGTATATTAATTTGTTTATATATATATATATCCCTTTGAATGCAGATACAAAGTGAAAAGGTCTGGCGAACACCCTAAATCAAACCCCAAATACCTCCCAGGAGCGACTGGATCCATATGATGATCGGCTCAGAGTTTTGTGCCGAAGATTGGTCCTTCGTACTTCAAAAAAACATGAAGCAAAGGAAAAACAAGTAATGTGGGATAAACAATGTCATAAACCACCCATTTGGGAATGGTAAACATACCACCTATAAAAATGGTGATGACTGGGGGATGTTTGATGACATTGTTTTAACCACATTACAAGTAAATGTGTCAAACTGGTTGGTTGCCAACGGTTGGTTGTTGTTTTTTCTTTGTGACCACGGGAAACTATTCATCACTTTAATGTTAAACCAACGTTTTGAAAACCATTGTGCATTTGACACAACGTCCATTCCTTTGGTATAAAGCGTGGTTTCCATTGAAAGTCAACGATTCATCCAATTCAAATTCATGTTCCTTCGAACGTTACTGTTCCCCCAATGAATAAAATCCGTGTGATGAACTAAATCCATCCAATTTGTCCAAGTTTCCATGCCCGGTCATTTCTTGCATAGCCATGAAAAAAGGGTTATTGATAGATGATTTACAATCAAACATGGCAACTGGACATTCACTATGGACTGGAGCTTTCCACATGTTTGGTGGAAAAAACACATGAAAATCAGGCTGGTGCCACGTTTGATTGCTGGGATGGAAAGAAATTCTCTGGAAAATCTAGATATGTGTACACTTATTTCCCTTCTGGTTGGGGGTTTGGAACATTTGGATTATTTTTCCATATATTGGGAATGTCATCATCCCAACTAACGAACTCCATCATTTTTCAGAGGGGTAGGTTAAAAGCACCAACCAGATCATTATTAACCATCATTAACCATATAATAACCATCATTAACCATATACCTACCATAATAACCATAATAACCATACAACAAACATATATTAACCATATATTAACCATCGTAACCACCAGCCTTCTGCTGGTTCTTGGTTGCTCTCAGGCCTTGGACATTGCCAGCCGCACCACCCTGGCACGAGCACCTTGGTGGCGCCGGGAGGCGCCGGTTTCGTTTTTTTTTTTGTGGTGATTTAACCATCAAAGATCATGCTATTAGCTGGGGATATCATATAGTGATGGTAAATGATGGTAATATATGGTAATATCTATAGTATCAGTGCCTATGTAAGGGAATATCCCCTCAAATTATATATGGGTATGGGTCAAAACCTATAGTATTACCATGTTTTGGGGGAATAAACATCCATAAACCAACTTAGGGTACCATCCGGGTACCAGGGTTTTGACTCATAGCCATATGGTAATATCTATAATAGTTGAATATCATTGATATGACTATACTGATTATGTTGAAACCACGGGACACTTTCCATCGCTATGATGGTTGGTGGATATGCGTGAAGAAAAGGATTTTGCATCTGGTAATTTAACAGTTTGCTATGAGAAGCCCCCCATGTATATTTACCTATTCAACATGGTGATGTTCCATAACTATGTTTAGTTTACCAGAGGGTGCCCAGAAAAAATGCATTTTACTCTTGGTGGATATCGATATATATATATATATAATTATATTAGATGTATTGTGAATGATGATGATGATTATTATTATTATAGCTGGCTATATAGTTTTAATAGTTGTTGAACGTATTGAATAATCATTGTATATACATATACGTATGGTAAGCATGAAATGCAAACTATACATGTGTTTTATGTACATGTAATGTTTATATAATATTTATGTATGTATATAATTGCCCGTCTGAGAACTGACATGACTGACTCTGGAAGATTATGTTCAGTTCGGAAGATGGTCATCCAACAGTTGGACGCATCATGATATCAGAGCGGTAGGTGAACATCCCAGCAGGTACAGTGTATTTTATATATTGTTTGGGGTCTTGAAAAAAAACTGACAACCAAGGAAACACAGTGTTGCTGACATTTCTGAATATGTCTAAATAAGTTTGAGTAAAAAAAAGGTGACTCAAACATATGATGGTTTGTTGTTGGTGGCACAATGAAACCACAGCTCTGCTTATGTCACTGCACAAAAATTGATTGAAGACCCCAACCATGCCATATTATAATCCAGTTGACTAGCTTCCTAGGGGGTTCGCCATTCCGGATTTTCGAGTCCCACGTTCTGTCCCACGTTTGGTCCCGCATTGGCATCTCTGCTATCATCCAGACCTTGCGGGTCCGTCCAAGGTGAAGAAATGTTGTCAGATCATGGGTCGAGATGAAGACTCCTTGACGGCAGCCATGGATCCCAGATTTTTTTGGTGCCGACCTGCTGCGCAGAATGTGGATCTGGTAGAGTAGATCATCTTCGAGCAACCTCTTTAAATATATATATATATGTATATGTATGTATATATATATATTTATTTATATGTATATGTATATGTATATGTATATATATATATATGTACGTGTATATATATATATACCTGTGTGTATCCATAAAGATTGTGTTATACTCCATAATTTTCGTACATCTACCATTTTTGGGGTATTTGGAGGATCTAGGTATATATATATATATATTGAGAATGATTCCAAAACACATGTCCTGATATTCTTGCTTCCATGTTCTTCATGTCGGTGCTCGCAAAGTCTGAGGCACAAATCTTGTACCCCTTGATGCAATGCACAGACATTTTCTTCCTGAAGGTTGAAGGGGAAACTGTGGTGGGGGCCGTTCCTTAGGATGGAACAAATATCTTTGTTTTCGTAGTTTGAGCGCATTGGCAGTTGGTCAACTTGAGCTAGCTACGGAAAGTGTCTGACGACTCTCCTGAAGATATGGTGAGAGATTGGAGCTTTGGCTTGAAATTCAGCACCATTGATCAAGCTGTTGGTGCATTTTCCGATATTCTTTGTTCCAGGTCATGCTCTCTCCAAGCAAATGGGTATGGGTCAAAATTGGGTACCCCAATAACTGGTTGATACTAATATATAATAGATTAAAATCTGTGGTCCGCTAGTCTTAAAACTTTGACCCAAACCCAGATGCTGTGATTTGTCTCAGATTTCTCCAGGCAGACATTTGCCAACTTGGCGTCGACCAACGCAAAGCCACTGGGCGGAGTCCGCTGATGTTCTTTTGACCGGGATACCAATCATCATCTGGTTGGTGGTTTGGAACATTTTTATTTTCCACAGTATATGGGATAATCCTTCCCATTGACTTTCATATTTTTCAAGATGGTTACATCCACCAATCATCATTTAACAACGTATGGTTCTTCCTTGTCTTGCTACGGCGCTGTTGCCAAGCTCTTGCCGATTCTGTTTCAGACGTTTTTTCATTGACGAATTGGTGGAGTTCAGTTCTCTGTTCAAAACATTTTTGGGATCAAGAGTTTTAGTAGTGTCCCACTAGTAAGCTTCACTATTCATGATCAACTGTTGCACGACATTGGTCATATTAGTGAAGGATACTGTTCATTTTTTTTACCCTCTATTTAACATGGCCATGGAAAATCGCCCATTTATAGAAGGTTTACCTATTAAACATTGTGATTTTCCATGGCTATGTTAGTCATAACCAGATGGTACATTTTTTTCAATGTGCACCTTCACAGTACCTCCACGATTCGTTTTTTGGGATACCCTGAACCATTTTCAACGCGGCGAGGTCAATATGCTGGCGAGGGACTACTGCGATGCCGCAGGTGAGCGTTCCATGCCGCATGGAACTTCCCTGAAGACGTTCGGATAAAAAGGACCATGACAAGGTGACGGGGTGCAGTGTTTTAGCCCTTTACCAGTTTGAAATGGTCATAAATGGACATAAATGGTCTTATTCATCCATAAATGAGGTTATGAATGACTTATAGCTGATAAAGGACCATAATTGTGGTATTCTATCCCCCACGGTGCTGGTATATTTGCTTACATGACTCGGTGATTCAATAAGAGTAAATGCTGGTAAATATTCTAGCACCATGGGGCAACTGGGTATATCAGGGGGATGGAATGAACATGAATGAACAACATATAGTAGCATGATCATGATATATATATATATATATATATAATAGATACAGGTGTGTATGTATATATATATATATACATGGTTTATAATCAGATACGATCATGTATATATATATATAACACGTATATATACATATATAATTAAGTTTTATATCATTGGAACATTACTGGTTCATGCCAATGTCATTGATAACAATACATTATCACAAAACACTATCATCACTTATTCATCAGCATATCAAATGTCTATGAATCCAAACACTTCATTGGAATGTACCCTTTGGTAAATAATATACAAAGTGTTTGAACATTGCCTATTTATAGATGATTTGCCTATTGAACATGGAGATGTTCCCATTTTTTTTAAATAGCAAACTGTTAACTTATCAGATGGTAATTTAAGTATATTGAAGTCCCAAAATGGTACTGGCAATTTGGATCCATAGCTATCAAAGAAGCTATTGGTTTTAGCCTCTGGTAATTTCACATAGCTATGGACATCATCGTCAATAGGTAAATCAAGTATTTATAGTATAAATAAATGGGCCATTTTAAATAGCTATTGTTCACAAATTACCAAGGGCTACGACTGGATGTTTTTAATAGAACTCCCGCTCCAAAGACTAAGAAGTTACGACTGGATTGGAGATTATCCGAGGCCCAGAGCCCACAACAAAAACTGCGCAAGTTCATCGACAAAAATGTGAGGTGCACATGTGGAAATATAGAGAGGAATTGATACACAATATATATATATAATTATATATACATATATTCTTATAATATATATATTGTATATATAATATATATAGTACACAGATTGTAGATCATGTCATATTCATACTTATAGTACATATTGTATTTGATATTCCACACAGAACAAAAATAAGATTAATAAGCAACACAGACAGACAGACAGACAAACAAACAAACAAACAGATGGATGCATCGATGCATGAACATATAGATTGATGTACATATTCAGAATTTCATAGTATTTCCAGAACCTCACCATTTAAAGTCAGGATTTTTCTTAGTTACCCTGTAAAGCAACATTGTAACAGTTCGATGTGGAGTTTACCCACCGTGTGTATGTTTTCCAGATCGTTGTGTATGTTTACCCAGGGCCTGGATCACATGGACTCTCCGGATTTTGTTTGTTAAAACTGCTGAAAAAATCCCACATTTTTCGTGGTTACAATCACTATGTGTGGTGTGACTTTGGACAAAAATCTAGTTAGACCCCCATGATTGGTGAACGAAGCCTTGGATAGCCTTGGCATGCCGTGCAGGGAGGAAGTTGAAGCCGGTGATTTTGTCGCACCATATGTTGTATGGCCTGGATCTTGGCACTTTTTCAATTCAGGGGACAAGGCATATGGAAAAGCCCCAAGATGAAGGGGAAGGAAAATGAAGGAACAACAACAACAACCCTATGGCAAATAAACATAGACCCTGAAAATGAGCAATTTTTAGTGGAAACTAATCTTCCAACCCCGATGACTGCCAGGGTCTATGTTAATTTACTGGAGGGTATATCCCATAGTTTGGCAAATTGTTGATCAGCATTTTCCCTACGCAAGACCAGTTCCAGAGACACCCAAATTCAGAAAACATACCAAAACATGTTACAAATCTGCCGTTGAAGTAGATCATGTCCCAGAGGATTTCCATGCTTTTTTGTATGTTTACTGGAGGGTAGATGAAACATATCATATATTTCTTGAAATCGGTAAATGGTCAGTGGCCTAAAAAAGTGCCGTTCAAGAATCATGGGTAGTCCAAGTGTTGATCAGGATTCGTACTGTTTGGATTGTTTTGGTAGTTTTTTTTCCCGTATAGTCTATAACATGTTACAATAGACATAATGTATCATAATGTTATAGATGTGTTTATTTCGATCCTTTGAACGCATCCTCGGAAACTATGCCTTTGTCCGTGTGCTAAAAGATCCATGATGCTGGTGATATTTGTCAGGATGGGGCTAGTGCGGTGGTGATGATCAATGAAATGTGGGGTTTTGTCTTGGCTGCCTTGGCTGGTGGTTGTGACATGTTGGTAAAAAAGAAATGAATCTCTCAGAGCGTTCTAAAGCAGACCCTACCAAACAAATGGCATGAGTGGGAGAATCGACTTCGAACGCAGAAGTTACACCTGATCCCCGCTGTGTGCGGTACAGACAAGGATCTGGGTATTTGTGAAAGTTCAAGACCCTGGCAAAAATCGAAATGGGTTTGTCTGAAAATAGTGTACCCCTACACCCAATGGTTAATGATCATTATCCCTACTAAATGGCTATAATTGGGGGTATACCCCATTTTCAGACATACCCAAATATGAAGTGGATTGAAGAATGAACTATACTAACTTTGCCACCATCGCTCCAGACGCGCTTAGTTTCACCAGCTAATCATTGGGGTCACCGAACTGGGAAGGGGTCCCATGATATGCCCAGAAAACACCACCATGCTGGTGATGTTTTTCATGGTGGGAAAACCCACTTGGACCACTGTTGCCTGACGTCCGAGGTTTGAAGAAAGGTCAGGCAAAGATGTCCAAGTCTGATCCTGATTCCGCCATCTTCATGGAAGATGCGGTGGAGGACCTAACCGTTAGCGGTGGCTATTGGTGGCTATTGGGGACCATTTGAGTCCCAGAAAACAGGATGATTTTGGGTCTTGGTAAATATGGTAAGGGTAATTTTTGTGGTTTTGTTTTAGTGGTTTTGGTATGTTCAATTGGTGAATTCAATATATAGGAAAAGTTAGTAGTTCAATGTAATACATGGATTCAAACACTTCCGAATTGAAGATACTACTTTAAAACCTTAAGTTAAGACTACCCAAACATCCTATCCTAAGAAGGGATGGCTAGATCCATATGTTATACTTGTTTATACTGTTATAATCTATTATATATATATATTATTACATATGGGGGGGGGTCCTGAAATAGGGGTACCCCAAATCATCCAAGTCCTTGCCATGAATTAGTATTTGAAAGCCCTGGGGGGGGTACCCTTATTTAGGGAACCTCCATATAATCATAGTATCAGATATGGTCTATTTCTCCTGGAATGCTATCCGGAATGGGCTAAGAAGCTACGTGTCGTTGGATGAAGGGGGCTGCTTTGCGGTGTTCACCTGTTGTCCAGGTTGCCCTAGTTTGCAGGCGTTCTATGTGTCATCACGTGTTGAGAATATATTGTATATGTATACTATATAATCATGACTAGTGTTAATATTATGATCATTATTAATTACTAGTAACTATCTAATATGGTTACAATGATTGTGCAATGAGTGTGTTGTCATATACATGTTTATTTTGTTATTTTTGAAAGCATATGATATACATATATATATATATATACACCCCTGACTTCCATCGTTGAAGTTTTACTTACCCTTCGAAGATAAGTATGTGCATCTACACTATATATATATATATATACATAATTGTATAACATGTGTATAGATGGGTGGATGGATGTATGGATGGATATGTTTCAAAATAAGGAACCACCAGCCACCAGGCAACGTTTTTTTGCTACACTCTTTGTCGTCATGGCTCCATCGAAGTGGATGTTGGGTCATGATGAACTGGCTCTCTGGTAATTTAAAAGTTTGTTGTGGTATAGATTGTTTTCTTAGTTCAATGATGTACGGAACTCATACAGAACTCAAACTTGGTGATTTTCTATAGCTATGTTAAGCTACCAGAGGGTAGCATTGATGATTAGCAACTAAGTATCATTTGCAAATTTTATAAATGGCTAGTTTTCAATTGTCAAAACAGTTGGATTAGTGTAGCAAGTATCAATTATGATAATCCAATTTGGGAATCCTCTTAATCTGACTGAATACACTCAGTGAATACACTGATCAATCAGTTGACGGTCAACGCATTTGTGGTTGATTGGATGGTTCAATTTGATGGAGCAGTTTGTTTTCTACCCACAAGACCCTTGGAAAGGGGTTGACATGATAGCGCTGTTTCATCAGTGCAGTCGTCTTGGCTTTTGACTGATTATGTCCTCCGCCCGAACGAAAGATATACCATGATGACCGTTTGTTAATTCTGGGCCACTGCTATTCACTGGCTGGGTCTCGTCCATCTTGACCTTGATCAGCGCTAGAGATACCACCAACCATTCAGACATGCGCAGACATGCGCAGACCAGTGTTGGCAGGACGTCATTCGAAAGATTGAGAATTCCTACTGTGTACTTCTCAGTATGCGAAGTTGCTGATGTTTTCGCGATTGAGGTGGCATAGTTCTTTCATTCTTCAGTGTCGAATCCTAAAGTAGTTTTTTGTTCTTCGGGTGATATATATATATATATATGTTTGGTGACAACATTATCTGGTTTTTTCTTGCGTTACAATCCATCAGGTCTGTACAATGTACAGACATGTACAGACCAGATCTGAATACTCTCTTGTAAGCTAACATCGCTATGGAACATCACCATGTTTAATATATAGGTAATTAATAATTAATAATAATCTATCAATCACCCATTTTCCATAGCTATCTCAAACTATCAGAGAGTAATCCTATTCACCCAATATTCCTCAGAACCCCCCTGTTTGGTATTGGATTTTCATTTAGGTGGATCAGGGTGGTGGTATGTAATGTTAGAAGGAATGGCTTATACACGACATATTTATCACATACAGATCTATTCCTTCATTCTTTACCACAATCACCAGTCGATGATACGCTAGTTGCCTGGGTGCAACCAGATCTCTTGCAGACTTGTAGCATTTGCGCAGTGTTTTTTTCAGTGAAAAAAACACACTGCGCAGACTACTGAGCAAACTCCTTTCATGGATAGTTTAGCACCAACTTTGCAGTGGGAAAAAAAACATCAAACTTCATTTCATCAGTAAAAAACAATGCACGGTATCTCAGTTTGGTCTTGGTTCCAAGAGTTGTTGCGGCTTACATCCCCATCTTCACCTGAAGTGACGCGCCTTACATCGTGCGAATCAGGTCCATCAGCCCCAGAGCAGGATGCGTCGGATGCCTCGTGCGAGGACCAAGGTCGAATTCATGTGACTGGTTTCGGGAGTCCTGGAGGTTTCCAGTCATGGGGGTACTTCAAATCATCCAAGTCATGGAGCATGACTTAGTATGTTTCAATCTATGGTGATGACTGGGGATCCCCCATTTTGAGAACCCCCCGGAATGTTTTTTTTTTTTTGACATGTACCATCTGGTTATGACTAACAGTTTGCCATGGAAAATCACCATTTTTAAGAGGTAAACCATCTATAAATGGGTGATTTTCCATGGCTATGTTAAATAACCAGAGGGTACCAAGGATATTACTTTGTCAACTTTATCAATTGCACCCAACACCTGTGCGGGACTGGAAACGTTGTCATGACTGCCGACCTTAACATCAAGCTTGTTTTGCTGAAGTCAACCATATAATCTCAACATACCTAAAAGCTGCGGCGGCTCTAGACATTCAAACAAACCAATCCCATACTTGAGATTCAAACAAACCAATCCATTGCATTTTTTTGATAAATGGAATCATGAACATGTTTCTGATATAAACACAACAACAAAGCATTCGCAACTTGGTCGATGCTCGGTGCCCTTTTTGTGCCATGTTCACAGGCCATATCACGACTAAATCTTGCTGAAACCTAGGTCTTCGGAGGGCATGTCTCTGGTCCAGGACTAGTCATTGGGGGTGCAGAAAATCACTTTCCCAGGCAACAACCTCGTTAACCAGTGTTTATCAATCTAGGGTTGAATCGGGTTGACATTAGGTATGGAGGTAGTATGTTGGAGTCTAAAGTGTCAATTCATGGGCCACATCCATGCAAATCTGTTTGATTCGCCACAGAAAATGCATTTGGACGTTCAATTCTTTTGGGGATTTTTGCTGTCAGGTGCCAAGCCCACGCACCACATGCGTCAGGACGAACTCAAGAACCCTTGTTTGGACTACATCAAGTGAGCCGCGTTGCGGATGGTTAGTGGCTCTCATTTGGTAGATCTGTTTTAAGATGTTTTTTAAGTACATTTTGAAGTTTTGAGTCAATGAGCACGATACAGTGCTTAAATGTTTTCCATGCAAAGGGAAAGAACATGTCCAGAGATGTGCAAAAGCACTGGTATGCAAAGGTTAATACTACAGTAGTTCTCGATTGCATGTTGTTGGCAAAAAAGTTAAATATAGTTGAACTCGAACAAAGTTGGACGGATCTGTTTCAGATTGGCGTCCAAGCGCTACCTTTTTAATACCCTTTTTATACGGCCAGATTCCCAGGTACACACTCTTCTCAAGAGAAGGTTATACCTTCAAAGCAAAGGATCGGATCTATGAGAACTTCGAGGTGGGACCATGATGATCATCACTGAGTTTGTTGACCAGAAAATCCATGGAACATCATTTTCAACGGAAAGCTATGGTTGCTTACTTAAAAAAAACAACAGAGTTGTTGGGTGCTGGATTTTTGTTACCAATATGGCTATGGATCAATACCTATTAATACCATTTTTAGTGGGATGAACATCCATTTACCAGCTATTTTTTATGTTCACCAGGGGTACAAGGTTTTGACACACTGCCATATAGACAATTCAGCAGCAGCCGCTGTTCATTGGATCTGTTTGGATCAACACTCTGCGAGAATGACGACTGATCGAAGTGTCAAATTCTTGTCGGTGAATATGTGGGTTAATATGTGGGTTATTATATTGTTATATATGGTTAACTAATTCGCTATTAACCAGAAGAAAAATCCATGCTTTGTCGGTTTGTCATCATTTGAAAAAACAAACAAACATCCATTTTGGGCGGGTGATGTTTGGGGCATCCCATGTTTGGAGCGTCCGTTGCGGCAACCAGGACTTGAAGAAGGACTTCGTCCGAGGAGAACTCTCCGAGACTCTCTTGAAGGAGACTTTAGCCGCAGAGGCCTGCATAAAAAAAAGGGCCATGGTTCCATGGTTCATTCATCGATACCCCTTGGGGATGAATGGCTATTACCCTCTGGCTATGACGTTTACAGGAATTGCGAACTGGAAGCCATGGCCCATTTAGTTCCTTGATTTACCCATTAAAAATGGTGATGTCCCATATTTATGTTAGTTTACCAGAGGGTAATGTGAATGTTATCCATTATTCATGGACCCTTAAAAATTCATCTGGATATGTCTTGGAATCAGTTGTGATTAATTCTTGCATAGTTGTCAGATATGTCATGATATGTCTAAATGTTTAATATGATTTAATAGGTAAATCGTGTGTGCAATCCATCATGGGAATTCTGGTCAACTCTATAAGCAATGACATGATGTAGCATGTCATTGACCTATATTGACGTGACTTACTTGTCGGACTGGAACTGAGCTACTCATAGAGCTAGCTACGCTCTGATATGCTGTGTCATCCCTGCAGATGAATGGAAGAGATATGGTTGGTACGACTGCAAGGGGGTGAGTCGTGTTTGATGATCTGTTTTAGTTTGGGACTCCCACTGTTGTCATATTCAAGAGAGTTTCACACATGATCACAAACAGACCAATCCCAATGTGTAGAAACGCAATCCCAATGCACCCCGGACAAGATTGGACGCACGCAGTGTTTTGCAAGCAAGTAGATTTGCAGAACAAATGCAAAGCGATGAGAAGGACTTTTACCAGGTGTGATGTTCCCCAAGTGAATCTTAGTTTCTGGGTGGCTCAACCAGCAACCAGACGCTCTCTCTATGCAATGTGGGCGTTGTGTTTCTTCACCCGTGGCACGCTTGAGCAAGGGATGATAGAAAAAAAAACAGCGTTTAGATTAATTATTATTAGAAAATGGTGGATTATTAGATGATAGTCATGATTTCCTAATAATAAGTTAGTATTATTGTATATTATTGTTGGATCATCTCATCATTTCCTAATCATCTAATATTATTTCCAATCCCTTTAGATTGATTTTTAGATTACTTGGGGATTGGCATTCGCAATTCTTCCAGTGCAGGTGAACGCTCTTCTGGAGCCGGCGAAAGACTCAGATACGAACCGAACGACGGTAGTTTTTTTTGATGGAGATATGTAGTGGTGGTATATGACGGATTATATATGGGACTTAAGATCAATTAATTATACATATATGATGGGTATATCATGGGGCTTATAATTATGTAGTAGTATATGATGGTATGATCCAATACATGTTATCTGGTTGGTGGTTTCAAACATTTTTTTCCCATAATATATGGGATAATCCTTCCCATTGACTAATATTTTCACAATATTTTGCAAGCTGGTTAAGACCACCAAGCAGAATAGAATTCTATTGAATCCTGTTGGCAGAAACTATTTATCTGACGGTTCTCTCACAGAATGATTCTTTTTGCCTGTGGATGGATTCTGAATCAAAGGCCTTGAAACAATTGCAGCAACAAAATTTCTGAAATGGACCCTTCTGAAGCCCGAGTTTCAGCATCGGGATATTTGCAATTGATGTCGGTATATGGAGCGATGTCGAAGATTTTCCAATCTGGGGCTCCAAAATTATAATACCTAACCTTGCATTATAATATGTTTACATACACAAATATACATAGACACATACACACATACACACATACACACACATACACACACACACATACACACATACACACATACACACATACACACATACACACATACAGACATACATGCATGCATGCATAAATGCATGCATACATACATACATCCATGCATCCATGCATCCATGCATCCATGCATCCATGCATCCATCCATCCATCCATCCATACATACATACATAGATAGTATATTATATGCAGACTCTATACTACATTACACTACACTACGCTACATTTGCATTACGTTGCATTGCATTACCCTGCATTACATTATTACATTACATGGCATGGTTACACTACATTACACATATGAATACATAGATGCATCGATACATCGATACATGGATACATGCATCCATGGATACATGGATACATAGATGCATAGATGGGGCAAGGACCACCCAACCCCAAAGATTCCACAGAAAACAGCATAAAACAGCAAAATTAGGACCCTATGACCCATGACTGGGCCTGCTGATACATAGGGACGTAGATACTTAGATAACACACATCCATGCACCCATGATGCATACATGCATACATGCATACATGCATGCAATGCATGCATGCATTACATGCATTACATGCAGCACGTGCAGTACATACAATACATAAGTTACCATAAACTACATACATACATTACCATTACATACATAATACCATACATGCATACATTACGTATATACATCACCTACCTTAGATACATTACATACGTTACATGCATTACATACATTACACCACACACATTACACTCATTACACTACAAACATTACACTACATTACAATAGACTACACTACACTACAGTACATAAAGTTATAGTGCACTACACTAATTACACTACATTGCACTACATTATATTACATTGATTTACTTTATCTACATATGTATGTATACATGCAGACTGAAATTGAAGGCCTCAATTCTTAAAGTGACCGGACTGGGATCATTTGGACTGGCGATATCACAGCCCGCATCCGGCGAGGTCCGAAATCATTTTCAGCAGGATGAAGAAGCTCGCAAGCTCTTGGAACAGGTCGTGGACGGACAAATTTTACCCAAAAAATATGGAGGTTTTGATGGATGAACAACACAACGGACTGGGAAGTTTAAGCATCAGCGGGTGCTCGTCACAAATCATATTTAATGTGATTCAAGTCCAGCGACAATGACATATCATCCGATCATATCCTATCATATCCTATCAACACCACCATAGATCGCTATTTGGATGCGAAGACCGGGGGCATTTTATGGCATTTTGGTTGATCCATGGCAGATGAATTGCCCAGACCGATGAATTGTAGGGTTTAGGGTACACTTCTGGATTCAGAAACAACAAAAAGATCTGGATTATTTGGGGTATTTTGGGGCAGTTTCTTGAGGATTCAGCTGGTCTCCAGCACAGTGGACAAGCTGGTGGCAAAAAAACCAAATGGGCTGCTCTAGGGGTGTGAACATTCCATCTCACGCAGGCTTTTGGTCCTTAGCAGTGTCCAGCAATTGAGGTCCTGCATAGTCCCTCTATAGGTTTCAGGGAGATAAATTATTTTGCAGTCAAGCTGTTGAGCTTTGCAAAAAAACAGTAAACAAGCAGTGACAATCTAATGCCAAGATGCTGGCCGGAACTATGGCAACAGTAATTAGGGAAGCACCAGCCAGCATTTCACATGGGTTAAGTACAGAAGTGCAGCAACTACCTGCATTGCGGCATGTCTGAAAAGTCCATCAACCTCTGAAAAATTACTGAATCGTTGAATGGTCACTCAGTATTTGCACAAGAGATCACAATCAAAACCCTCCAAATAGATATGCCCGAAAAATGGTAAAAACATTGAGACCATGCGGTAAAATATACGATTTTTACGGGTACAAACGGAGGGTCTAGGAAGATAGCATTTTCCAAGTCTTCCCTTCGGACAGATGGCAATCCAGATTCAGATGTGGCAACTGGAGATCTCACCATGGCCACCGCTCCTTGCTGTGCTTTGTACCAATCCGAAGGGGCCTGAGTTCATCGATGCGCAGAAGTACTTCCACCAACATTTAAGGTCGACCAGCTCGGAGAAGTCTTGCGATGTCCCAGAAGATGGCTGGTCCGAGAGGATGGGCTGTGTAAGATCTTGTTTGCCAGAACATCTTGCCAGCTACCACTCACTGATTGTTGAAGCCCATGGAGTTAGTGCTGCTCTGTTCTGATGGATTTTGGAACGTACTTCTTTTTTTGATGCTGTTTTTTCTCCAGAAGATGCACCATAATCCATCAAAGTGCCACGCTTGTAGCCAAGCAACTGATCCTTGGGCCATGGGCCTTGGCAGAAACAAGCAATCCTGTGAACGAGCTGCCTACTTAGCGCACATGTATGCGAGCTGTTGCAAACCGATGCCTTGTGCTCCGGAAATGCTCCGACCAGGGCAAAAGCACTATGACTTGCTGACCGAAAAGCTTCCAGAGCACAACGGAGCTTCTCAGTTGCATGCTGTCATTTGGCATGCGGCTGGGCCATTCAAAGGCTTTTTCGATGCGGATGAGGCCAAGGCAAGACAACGCTTCGAGGAGTTGAAAGGTGGCCCTTTTGCAGCAGCACTCGTTGATCCGAACTGTCACTACACGACCTGGAGCAACTGTTGTTTTTTTGTTGAACCAGGTGGTCGGAGCAAAACTGTTGAAATTTCATGTGGCGTAACTAAGTGTTTTGAGCACGAACTCAGGTAAAATTCTCGAGATCTTTGGCAGATGGAGCGCCAAGCACAAAAAGTGGCGTCAGATGAAAGACTGGTGGCATCAACAAATGTGGCTGTTGGTGAGCAGCCCCGCGCAGCTTTGGTTTTACTAGAATCCGAAGGTATAGAAAACAACAACAATCAGACTGGAGATGTTTCTGAGCAGCCCACAGCTTTGGTGTTACCAGAATCCGAAGGCATAGAAAACAACAACCATCAGATTGGAGATGTTTCTATGCTCGATGATGGGTCGGAGTCCGAGAAGGAGATCCATCCTATCAACACAAAGCTCTTGCAGGATGTGATGAGGAATTTCCGGCAACAGATTAGACAATTTGATCCTTCTCGCAGCCCATCAGAAAAGTGGAGCCACTTGGTGCAATGGTTTGACATCACCGACATGCGGCTAAGATTTGCGCACAGCAGTGTGTCTCGCACTTTTCGACAACCGCCCCACAACGGCTACAAACTCACCGAGCTTGTGGATAGCTTTCTTCATGGCGATGAGAGGCCAGAAAACATGCCTCCATTAGTTCCTGGTCTTAATATTTGTTTCTTTCCCACTTGGCATTGGATGATCCATGATGATCCCAAATCCCAAGTGATTAATGATTTGTCACTGGGGCAAAACCACTGACAAGGTTGCTGTCGATTGGGATGGCAAATTGTGGGTGGTGTGCGGCAACCGTCGCTTGTGGACTCTTCGAGAGTTTGTCCGGCGGCACGGTGAATGGACCCATGCTGTTCCACAGATCCCAGTCATTGTTCACAAGTACCCCTGGAACCATCTAGGCTCAGAAGATTTTCCGGCGTTTTTGATCAAGGTATTGGACGCTATGGGATCAACAAACGACGGGCTTGAAGCGAGGCTCAGATGATGCAGCGCGGGACGCAGAGAAACAACACCACTGCATCTTTGTGGGGTCCGGGGTCGCCAACTTTTGCGGTTGCAAGGTGTTACCAGATAAATTAGAAGCGATTTATGTTGGCCGATGTTGGCCGTTTGGGTCTCGTCAGGGCCCCTAACACGTGCACGTGATTTATGGGTATTTATGGTACACTTTCTATTACCGTAATAGAATCCATACTATATATATATATAATATATATATATTTATTTATTTATTTTCATACGGTAATAGAATCCTAGCAGATGCATACTATATACTACATATAAATATATATATATATATATACGTATATGCATCTAAAATGTGACCGAAAGTCGGGAGATGGGGTGGACAAATTGGTTGCTTCCATTTCTTGTTGCAGCATTTCAGCATGACGACTTTCTCATGATGTTCCCTGCCGTTGGACCTTGCAATCGGGAAAAACCAATGGTACTGAAACCTGGTGTTGGGCCAACTCCACCCCTTTATATATATATATATTTATATTTACATGTTTAAAACGGAATATATTCCACATTTATAGATTGGGTTTCTATAATGTCTTATTTATTTTATTTTGATATATCTAGAAATATACGTGTGTATATTATATATTATATATGTGTGTGATTACATAAACATATTAACATATATTATCTATAGTGTCATTGACATGGAAACAATATGTTATTGAAGGCTGCTGTCCAGATCACCATGTTGATCGGCTGCCAGGTTTCGGCTTGGCGACGAGGGGAGGACCTTGGCCCTGCCAAGTCGCGGTGTCCCAATCTGTTGGATCAGGCTTTCAATGAAACCAGGGTTGAATTCTTATGAAACATGGAGTAAACTCCAGCAGATTTTCCCAAAATTTCCGTTTGCCAATGAGGGGAACTTGGCAATCAAAACAGATGGGAATTTAGGCAACAAAAACCTCTGACTTGGCTAAAATGGTGGTATGGGATTATAGGATGTAATGGAATATGATAATGATGCTTGCAAGGAACCATAGTGCGGTAAACCAATGGCACCACCAGTTTTGGCATGGCGTAGACCAACTATTTCGGGTAAATTTGGTGATTTATTTTTACATCCCATCATTGGAGAAGCTATTTACATCTATGATCATCTATTTACCAAATCAAACCAGCCTACAGTTGTTCAAACATTTTCTAAATGGATGATATGGATGGCCATTGAATCCAAGTCTTCCGCTAGTGGAAGAAATGTTGAGGCGCTTCTGGTGTGTATCATCGTGAGGATGTCTCTGGTTTCAACCCTGAAGGATCCTCCAGGATAGTAGTACCGCTTCTCAGCGAGTTTTTTTCATAAAACATGATGACAAATTATGGCAAACATTGTCCATATTCATAAAATTGCGCAGATTTATCAGCTAAACCATGCGGGAACCAACGCCCTCAAGACATGGATGGCATGTGAAGTTCAGGTCGTCGCCGACTCACCTGAAATTAGATGACCTGGGCAACGAGGTTCGTGGAACGGTCGAGAGTTATGGGCGCCCCATCGATGGTTTTGACATCAAGAAAAACACACATGTGTTTTTTTAACAATATTGTGGAAGTTTTTTTGATGATATTTAGGTTCCATTTTGTGATAGCCAATGATCTTTTGGTCCTCAACTCAAACTGGTGATTTCATAAATGGAGTGTTTGAAAGGAAACCTACAGGAGAGCATGGACATGTTCCAGAGGACACCATGGCTGGTTGGTGGTTTGGAACATTTTTTATTTTTTCATATATTGTGAAGATCATCATCCCAACTGACGAGCATATTTTTCAGAGGGGTAGGTATACCACCAACCCCACCAACCAGATTATAATTAACCATCATTAACCATAGAATAACCATATATTAACTATTATTAACAGTATATTATCCACAATGGTAGGTGGCAAAAAACCACCAACCAGCATGGCTTTTGAGGCCCTCTTTGTGGTGGTTGCCCCGCCGCCCTCGGAGTACCGACCTCGTGGAGGTGTTTTTTGTTTGGCGCACAACGAGTTCACCAGCAATGGCCGGATGGAATGCCGGTGGTGGGGAGTGAGTGTACCCCCCAAACTGTTATTTTGATTGGGATATATAGGGATATATAAGAGAATTAAGCGACTGATGTAGGCGTACCCTGTTTTTATGTCAGTAGAATAACAGAATTATATAATTATCATGTTTGGAATGCCATAATACTGAGACTAGATAATTCGGAATACAATCCTTGCAGATACCCTTGAATATCTTTGTACAAAATGAGACCGTTGTTTTGTTATGTAATTATGTAGTACAGGGTGGTGGCCCCCGGTTGTAAGTTGGTTTATAATCCCCTCACGTATATTTACCCCCTGGTAAATTAACATAGACCCTGAAGAGAACCCATTTTTAGTAGAAACTAATCTTCCAACCCCTGTTTGGCAGGGTCTAGAGTCTATGTTAGTTATAAACCAACCTAGCTAACTATTTTTCCCCCACACTGTAGCGCCATCATTGATATTAGTGTGCACTGATGCCTTCGATTCATGTCAATTATACATGGTGTATTGCCGTGCTCGTGTGGACAGGATACGTGTTGGCCAAATGAGGTTTTGCAAATGGTACTTGTTTCACATGTGTCCTTTATGTACTTATTTGATGGAAATTATACCATATGATACCCTCTGGTAATTTAACATGGCCATTAAGTTACTCACCATGTTTAATAGATATATGAGCATATATGAACTATGAATGGCCATTAGCAAACCTCTTAGTTTCCCCGAGGGTATGAGCAGTGGGGGCCCAGGCTGGTGCTCTTGTCCGACGTGCTTGAGGTGCCGCAAGTCCGTGGATGATTCTGAAGGGGTTCATGGTCCTTTATAGCAGGCTTAAGCATCAAGAGTGGAGATTTATATATCTGGTTGGTGGTTTGGAACCATGGGATTGTATGACTTTTTTATGACTTTCCATTCAGTTGGGAATGTCATCATCCCAACTGACGAACGAACATATTTTTCAGAGGGGTAGGTATACCACCAACCAGATATAGATTTATCAAGTATTTGTAGGGATGATGGTGAATGACAAGCTGGGGGTTATTCACCCTGTATATGCTGATGATCATCTGCAGGGAATCCCGTTAAAAAAAACAACCAGGATTCAAACATCTGGGGGTTTTGAAATGTTTTGAACACTGCACATATGGATTTGGTACCTGAAACATTCGGAAACAAATGCCTGATTCATTATCATGTTTCCTGTGAAAGTGACCATAAGGCGATACACCCCATTTCACATCCATATACCTAATGTGTAGCGTAGCTTTTCGGAACAATGAGTGCCTGGAATCGTGCTCTCTGCGTTGCTGTTGATGGACCAACCTGTTTTTTTGAAGACGAAGGCCTAATTGGTTTCCATTATTGTTTCCATATGGTGTATTTGGCCATATACCAATAGGAAAACCAAAATATTTATGGTATTTATTGAATGGCCATTTCAGGAACCTAAATTGGAGGTACCTACCATATATAAGGCCTATGTAAGGCCTATGTAAGGGAATATCCCCACAAAATATGGCCTTATATGGTACTAACGTACCTCCATTTCAGGATCCTGGAATTCCCATTGATCATATGGCCATATATCAATAGGAATCAACCGTGCGGTATCATGCTGGACTGTGCTGCGTGAGGTGCTTCGAAGTCTCGGCAGTGGCAAAGGCAAACGTGTCCTCTGGATCCAGGACTGGGCTCCAAACTTGGACCCCCTTTTACGATGGAGATGTAGTATATACGTTCAATGGATATATATATATATATGATATAATATATATATATCCAGCTTTTTGAATGTCCATCTATATTTGCATGCTCTGGATATATAGTTATATCCATTCAATATTCCACAGCTGGGTATACAGCTTATTAACTAAACGTGACCCAGCGAGCGTGGCTTCAGCCACAGATCCTGCTAGGACTGGAGCGCTCGTGCCACAGGTGCTGCAGGTGGCTCTGTTTGGCACCCAGCGAAGTTGTGGAGAGAGATTTCATAGAATTTGGGTGAACATGTTGAATAATGTTTAAAACTGATGAGATGTGTCCAAACAGATGCCAGTTGCACTTTGAGTTTAATCATGGTTAAATGAGTTTCACTGAAGACCTATGGACCTATCACGGAGATTTATCCCCACTCACCGTTGACTCTTCAATTCGCCGAGGCAGAATGCATCAAGGCCTACTACGATTTACTGCTGCATCTTGGCCCATCTTGGATGGCTAAACGATGGCATTGGAGGGACCCCTGACAAGGATGATCACAAAAAACATGTCACTAAAAAAACAATGAGAACGAATAATAATTACTTGGTGGCTCATCCCACGAATCGTAAGTGGGTTAGTTCACCCCAGTTTTTTGAGTGGATTAACCCTACTTATCCCATGTCAATCACTGGGGTTATAACCCACTTACGATTCGTGGGATGAGCCACCAAGTAGACATATAGCATTGGGATATATTGCGATATGATATCAATCCATGCACCAAAATTCCCTGTGGCATTCCTATGCAATCTATGTATCTTTCCAGCAGTTGTTCAATGTTCGGAAACTCCATCATCACGGCTGTGCAAAATTTCAGTGCCGGAGCTTTAAGTAATATATGTCTCACTTATGATCAAACTTAAGTAAAAACAACTGCTTACAGTGGCAACAACACATGTCTTTGCTTGTGGTGTGGAATCGACATCTTAGATTATCTCCGCATTGTTTGTTTCTTTGTTCTCAAAATTTATCGTTGTTTGATGTCTGGATGTTGTGTTCAGATGTTGCAGGAACAACACACAATTCATCAAATCTAATCAAACCAACTCCAAAGTCAAAGTAGTCATGAAATATATGACAAACCATATTACCGCCAAATCAACTCTCACATTTTCTTGCTAGAATGCATAATGATTTGGTAGTAAACAAATTCTGCCACTGAACAAAAACTTGTTTTTTCCACTACGAACATCAAAAAGGGTTGTCCCTGAAGCTATGCAGAACTTTCTTATTGCAAGCCCGAATATGTAGTCTGGAAGAAAACTAAATTTCAAAAAGCAAGTCAGATTTGTATATACCTAGACCCTCAAATTCCCCATAAAAATTGGGTTCAGAGATCTGTCTCAGTGTAGTAGAATTGTGTAGTAAAATGCTTCAATTGCATTAAAATGTAGCAATTTTCTCCATTTTTTTTTAGTCGGGACTTGGAGGGTCTGCTGATGGTTCCACCCTTCCGGCAGGCATGGGCTCCACTCGGTGGATCCGCAGCTGATGTCGGAGGTGAATTTGCGGATCCGTTTTGGAAGATGTTTGGCATGATTGTGTCATTATAATCCTATATGTCATATAGTGAATTATATATAGGATATATCATTTGATGGTGTATGAAATATGGTATATAGCATATATATAGCACGTGTATCATATATATATATATATATATCATTATAATACACTATATATCCTATATATCATATAGTGAAACTATACATATTGTATCATTATTGTATCACTATATTATAATTATTCATTTATAGTGAAATTATACTAATATTGTATATTCATATTCCTATACATATTGTACATTAATCATTATATAATTCATCTATTCAGAAAGAATATTGTAATTTATAGTCTTTCTGAATACATATCATATATATATAATCCTTTCCCCCTAATACTAAACGTCCGTCCTATTAATAAACACCTCAGCTGGTTTTTAGTATTATTGGGGATCCCTATTAATAAAATTAAACCCTTAGTAATAATAACTATTTTTCCAATCTCAAAATCAATTAAATTTCCTTATATACCGCAATCAAAATATTGCCAAAAATTGGATTTCGAAGCGGGCCCTATTAATAAAATTAATACCTTAATAATATAAACATTTTTTCCAATCTCCTTAAAATTAAAATATTGCCAAAAATTGGTTTTCGAAGCGGGCCCTATTAATAAAATTAATACCTTAATAATATAAACATTTTTCCCAATCTCAAAATCAATAAAATTTCCTTATATAACGCCATTCCAATATTTCCAAAAATTGGTTTTCGAAGCGGGCCCTATTAATAAAATTAATACCTTAATAATAATAACTATTTTTCCAATCTCAAAATCAATAAAATTTCCTTATATAACGACGCAATTAAAATATTGCCAAAAATTGGTTTTCGAAGCGGGCCCTATTAATAAAATTAATACCTTAATAATATAAACATTTTTCCCAATCTCAAAATCAATAAAATTTCCTTATATAACGCCATTCCAATATTTCCAAAAATTGGTTTTCGAAGCGGGCCCTATTAATAAAATTAATACCTTAATAATAATAACTATTTTTCCAATCTCAAAATCAATAAAATTTCCTTATATAACGACGCAATTAAAAACCCTAATATAAAAAACTAAAAAAATCGACGGACCCTAATAATAAACACCCCGGGGTGAACTAGTTTTTAGTATTAGGGGGCAAAACCCACAAATGGTAGTTTTATTTTTAAATTGTGTTCTAAAGGGGATCAATTAAAAGTCAAATTGGCCAATCTGAAATTTTCTGAAATTGGAGATGGACCCCTGTTTTTAGTATTTGGGGGACGTTTAGTAATAGGGGGAAGGGATTATATATAATTACATATATATGTACATATATATATATATTATTATACATCATATATACCATTGAAAAGTGGTCTGCCACCGCTCAGGTGGCGGTGCGATGGCAGGGCGAGGTGGGGCCTGCGGTGAGCTGGAGGGGGCCCCAGGGAACTCCAAATAATTCCAATAACTGTTGGGTTGATGAATGGTTGATGAATGGTTGATAAATGGCTGATGAATGGTTGATGAATGGACATGAAATAAAATGGTTCATGATTCAACTTATATGATTTTAAACATGCCTATTGTTGATAAACAATATGAATGATTATTATGTAATGTATTTTGAATTGAAATGATATAACCTTTGGGTTGATGAATGGTTGATGAATGGGGGATAGAACATGATATGTCACGAATGAGTCCAAGGCGGTGGTTCGATATGATTAATGGATTATTATTTTTACCAAATAACCTCAAAGTAATCCAGTCATATTTGTTGATATAATACAGTAACCTTATGATAAACTGGATTATGTACATTAAACCTTAAACATTACGATTAAATCACATCAGCTGGGCAAAAAAAAACCGCCCGGGAATTGTTTGTTCATCGTCCAGGCCATCTTGTCGGGGCCTTCAGACTACTGGACCTCAGTGATTAATGCAGGTCAGCAGCGGACGTGTTTCTACGTGTGGTGTGGAAAAGGCCCCAAGACCCACCACGAAACAGACCAAAAACCAACTGAAATCCATGCATTTCCATAGGACATGATCCACAAATGATAGATTTTACTGGATGTTTCATATCTATATATGTTAGTTTACTGGAGGGTAAAGGGTTCATGGGGGTTACCCTAGGATCAATGAATGTAGATATTAGGGTACTAGACATAGGCTTAGTCCAGCTAGATGTGGGCTGAACCACCAAGTCAGGGTTACAGGGAGTGACCTTTGAGGGAGGAGTACACCCGTAGATTTCCATCAAAAAATGATCATCCATGTACATTCATATACCAAATCATTTGACCAAACGACAAGTTGACGCTATGACATCTCATTATTCATTAGCATTAATCCTGATTAACATGTATCAATTATTAAAACGCATTAAAGACACACTACTAATCCTTAAAGATTTCCAGAGTGGATTGCGCAGCTGAATAAACCCCAATGGATTGGATCCCATGTGGTGCTTCGCAGGTCGGCAGAGTTCTTTGGAGGCTGAGACGTAGCTGCTTGTGCCAAGTTTGTTTTTTTCGTTCGAAACGTTGTACAATTTTGAGTCAAATCCATTCAGATCTCAAAGAAGCATGTTGCCAAAGTCATAACAGTCATAACATATCAGTTAACTGCAAATCTCTTGGCTGTTGCACCAACGGAATCCTTTGATAGAGGCCATCCGAGGAGCTTTGGCGGAGGAAGAAAACTTGGACAGTGCTGGGCAGGCGCGTTTTGCGAAAAGTGCAAGGGATCCTGGGCAGTTTAAATGGGATTATCTGGGACCCATAACCGCTTTAATGTGAAATGGTGGTTTAACATGGTTTAATCATCGAAAAGTGGGCTTGCATCAGTTGAGCTGCAAAATGAAATGGTGATTTAACCATGCAAAATTGGGTTTTAGCTTTAACTTTAACTAATGAATGGTATGATGTAATGCGGATGTCATGGGATATGATCATGGAATATATATATATATATATATATGATAGTATTATGTTTAGTGGGATATACCATCACCCAACTAACAGATTGACCCTGAGAATTTGGTTTTACTTGGGAAAGTAGTCTTCCAACCGTTTCCACTCATGGCAGGGTCTATGTTACATGTTCGTTGCCGGGATGCTACTCGTTGACAATCGAAAACACAAGGATTCTTGACCGCCCGAGTGTGTAGAGATTTTAACCATCCAAGAATGAGCATCTTAAAGCTGAACAATGATACCCTCTGGTAAACTAACATAGCTATTGAACATGGCCATTTATAGTGGATTTACCCATTAAAAATTGTGATTTTCCTAGTTACGTTAGTTTACCAGAGGGTACTGCAAATTGGCGGTTGTTAACCACACATACTCTTTGAGTTGTGATCAAGCAAGAATTAAAATTATTTGCGATTTGAACATGCCAACAAATGAAAAACAATCTGGGTTTTGATCATCAACGCTGCGATTTTCACCGACCCACAATTGTGGGGTTTTTGTGAAACAAAAGGGGCGCTTTTTTCTTGGCCATCACACGTTGGAAGCTTGGATTTCACCAGTTGAAACCAATGGACTGTCCCAGTGTTTGGTGTTCGGTGGTTGTCCCAAAAGTTGAACAGTAAATCTGCAGTATGTTTGCACATCAGCTGAAGTGCATCCATTGCTAGTCAGTGTGGGAGTCGATGATTTGTGCATGTCTAGCAAACGGTCTCCTTAGAACGTGACCAGTTGCATGATATTGTCGCGATTCATCATTGAACCCTAAGATCACCAGCCATCACAGTAAAATCAGTTGTTTTGTACATGACTATACACATACATACTTGTACATATATATATATATGTATGTATATGTGATTATAGGATATATATATATATATATATACACTGTATAGCTATATAGGTATATATATATATATACATATATTATATGTATGTAATATATATATATATATAGGGTTCCTGGTGGTTCGGGCTTCATGGTTCAGGTGGTTGCTACCATCATGCACTTGGGCGATGTCCTTGCGCTCGCGGGAGGACATCTCCGGTGGCAGGATGCTGTTGTGGTTTCGACTCAGCAAGAGTTATTGTTGTATCCCCACGTACATTTTACATTTGAGTATTATATACATATATATATATATATTTACATATGCATATATGTATGCATATATTTATATACATATAAATATATATATATACATAATATATATATATACACATATAGATAAATATTGTGAATGATCATTCTGAATGAGCTGATCAGTGCCTCAATATTGCTCATTCCAGTTGCACGCTGTGTGGGTTTCGTGAGTTGCCTTTGGATGATCCATGGCACTAAAGCCGCTGAACATTTCAGCAGAATCCATGGCGTTTTGTTTGGCATTTTAGAAATTTCATCTGCTTGGTGGTTTCAAACATGTTTTGTTTTCCATAGTATATGGGATAATGCTTCCCATTGACTAATATTTTTCAAGATGGTTAAACCACCAACCAGTTATAGTCTATGCTTCTGACTGCTTGTTATTTCAGTCAGGATGTTTTTTCGGCCTCCTTGCGACTCTGCAAAGCGGGCACATATTTTGATGTCAATCATACCAGAATTGGTGAATGGGAAAAGTTGCATGTATTTCATTGTTCATAAACATGTATCCACGGGGGGGGGGTGAATTTTGCAATTTAATCACCAGAAATCAGCCAATTTCCCCTCCAAATGTATTTGGGGTATTGGGAGCAACCCTGTTTCCTGCAAGCTGGTGCCCCAGTTTTGCTTGTTGGTTTATAAACCCCATTAACTAGTTCAATCAAGTCTGCCACAAACCATAGAATTCACCTTTTGAACTAAACCAAGTTAGCTATTGTTGAACTAAACCAAGTTAGCTATTGCTAATCACATAAATCAGCTATCTATCCCCATGATAGTTCAATCACCATATTCAATCGTTTGGTCCAATGTTTGATGGTTAATTCCCCAACTTCATTCCTTTCTTCCCAATGATACATGACCAATCATCTTCACCACCACTTATCCCCACAGATTTGTCAAATCACCAACTGCCCGAAAAATCAACGGCGATGGACACCCCCCATTTAGTTCGAGGATTCCAGCCAGCCACGTGTCATTACTAGAGGGTTAGTTGTATATCCAATGAAGAAATCTCATGATATTTCCCCTTGAATCGCTCTTAAGTCCTCATTAAGTCCCATTAAAAGCACTAAACAATCTAGATTTAGGTATGGATCAATACCTATGAAAATACCATTTTTAGTGGGTTATTCACATCCATAAATCCCAGCTATTTTGATGTGAACTACAGCGGATTCCATGGGTTTTGACACACTGCCATAGTGTTTTCATCATGCCACGGAGGACGTGACGTAGTGCTGTGCTCTGGACCATCTACAAGGTTGGATGAGAGGTTGCTGTTCAACTTTCTCATACTACAACTGGTTGGTGGTTTGGAACATGAATTTTATTTTTCCATATATTGGGAACAATAGTCCCAACTGACTAATATTTTTCAGAGGGGTTGAAACCACCAACCAGACAAATATGTGTATAACAACGTATAACATATGTATATATACGTGTTGTATATTTATAATATAATGTGAAACATATGTAATATGTGTAGTATGTGTGAAACATGTAATATACGTATCATATATGTATCACATACATTATATTATACATACATTATGTAATGTATTCACCAGGCAGTTAGAACATGTGAATTTAAATCTAGGGACCAGAATCTACCATGAAGTTGGATGATGAAAACATCTGGCTTGCCATCAATAGGTTTGTTTTGCAACTGGGAATATCTAAGAGATCTTTTGGGAAATACCCTATATATGGTAAACTAACATAACTATGGTAAATCACAATTTTTAATGGGTAAATCCACTATAAATCACCATTTTCAATAGCTATGTTTGTTTACCAGAGGGTATCTAAGATATTTTTTGGGAAATAGTGAAAAGTAGATAGAAACTCAATATTTTCATCCTAGCTTTGGAGTTCAACATGGACCGAGATCAATAAAGATCTCTTTGCGCGGAGAGATCTGTGACCCAAAAAAAACACAGGTTTGTGGAGGCGAAACATGGATCAGTCATGTCCAAATCTGCCATGTTATATCCTGCCACGGTGAAAGCTCTTTACCAGTTACAAATGGTATATAGATGGTTATAACTTGGCTTATTAAGCAAACATATGGGCTCATAACTTACTTTCCAATATAACTGATATTTCGGGCCAACTTCTGCAGAACATTCGTGGCAGAACCTGGTGGTTTTCCACGCCCGGTTTAAACGTCAGGAATTTAAATGCTTTGGCGGCGAAGCATGCAGAATCTTCTGGTTTTTCTGTCGGAGATCCGAGGGCGCGGAGGTTTTGTTTTAAGTGGATGGGTCGGGAGCCTGCTGAAGATTTCAACAAAGACTCTTGGGTGGTTTTATAGTGATTTCCAGGGTGCTTTTTTTGGGTTCTATGGTGGTTTTATGGTGATTATATGGCAATTTTATGGTGCTGAGCTCTCTATCATTCAATTTCGGCTCTGGATCATAGACTTCATATCACGTAAAGCACGACTTGTTTTCTGAAGCAAACACAACTGTTGAAATTGGAAGGCACACTCACTTTGACTGCACAGCACATAGATCTACAGGGAAGATTCAAAATTGGACAAACATTGGATTGGGATTTCTGCCATTTCTGCCATGTTTTTCTCTTTTTGATGCAGTCCTTGTGTGTTGTGTGTCTCTTTTTCATGTCCTGTCGCTGCATGAAAATTGGGTGGATCCCACAGGTGGGGATCAGAGATGGCCAAAGAGAGAGAATATGGGGATGGGTCACAAGTTATTATATGTATATATATATATATATATATATATACATAATATTATATATATATACATAATAATAATAGTAATAATAATAATAATGATAATAATATTATATATATATACATAATAATAATAGTAATAATAATAATGATAATATACATCATATATTATATATATTATACATTATATATTACATTATATATTACATTATATATTACATTATATATTACATTATATATTACATTATATATTACATTACGTTAACCATATGACGGGGGAATAAATGTCTAGCATCATCCAGCTACTTTGGGTAGCTATTTGGGTGCCTGAGGCGCCTCAGATTGAAACAACTGAGCCGTTGGGGGCCGAAATCTCGTCGTTGGTCAATGGAGGTGCCCTCTGGAAAACATAGAAAAAACGATGGAAAATCACCACTTGTTCCATGGGACCTTAAAATTGTGATGTTCGATATCTACCTTGAATTACCAGAGAGTACCCTCTGGTAAACTAACATAACTATGGAACATCACCACTTGTTCCATGGGACAATCAACAGGATTATAGGTATCGAAGTTCAATATACCCTCTGGTAAACTAACATATAACTACGTATGGAAAATCACCATTTTCAATGATTAAATCAACTATTTCAATGGCCATGGCTTCCAGTTCGCAAAGTGTTGAATTACCATTTGGTAATCCCTTGAGACGCTGGAGGATATGGAATCCTGTGGATGGGCCGGCGAAATCCTGCACCAAAAGGATGGTTGAAACCCTATAAATAATGGGATGTTTACCATCTATTAACTGGTGCAGGATTTCTTCCATCCACAGTAGGATCACTTTTTTTGGAATGCATGGAAATCGTGGCCAGTCTGAACTTGAGATTCAAAGAAGTGGAGATGTTTTCTGAGTGTGGAGCCTATGATAGCATATGCAGTGTTGTTTCGCCATCAATTTCATCATACATATAGGTAGTTGCCATTAGCTATATATGTATAGTTATATATATATATATGTGTGTGTTGTGGTCCGAGTTGGTACATCTCTGAACTGCCCATGGTACCATCCTGATACCGTCAACCCCAGCCCAAGGCTGTCCTTGAGACTTCAAGCTAAAGGCGAAGGTCTCGAGGCTGACACGGGGACATGCAGCGCCAGTCATCCAGGGATATGGCTATGAATCAATACCTATGGATACTGTTAGGGGATGAACATCCATAAATCCCAGCTACTTTGATGTTCACCCCATATGATTAAAAACCGCTCTCTTCTTACAGCTCTTGAAGTCTTCTCCGATGCTCGCCAGTCATCAGCTTCCAATGTGCAGCCAGGCTGATACACAGATCCTTGTCACGGACAAGGCGTGACGCATCGAAGCTGTACAAATCCTCCAGGGAAAATTTCATAAAATTTCCACATGTCTCTGGTTTCGGCACAGAAATGCTTTTCAACGCTGCATTCTTCACAGCTCAGGAAGCCACACAAACACAAAGGATGCATGAGGCCGCACTGCACTATATATATATATATACTGGTTGGTGGTTTGTAACATTTTATATTTTCCATAATATATGGGATAATCCTTCCCATTGACCAATATTTTTTAAGATGGGTAAAACCAAAACCACCAACCAGTATTGTATACATTTGGGAGTTGCTTAAATTGGGGGATCCCCAAGTCACCATAGGTTTCAGAACAAAAGTTGTCGATTTTTTCATAATTTTAGGACACCTCCATGTGTATATTTTTGTAGTTTTGCACTACTGCATACTATCGTAACAAAGCACACTGTACCACCAAAAACTGGCGGTTTTTCAGAAGTCCGTGCCTTTAAAAATGCTTGGCTTAGGTCCAGGTGCAATGGACCACATCGTCTTTTTTCTCTCTGGTAATGTATCCTAGATGGGGAAAATCACATAAATCACCATGTCTGATGTGTAGATCATGTATACATGGACCATTTTCCATAGCAACCTATTGAATTACCAGACCATATATTGTGGTGACTAGGGTCTGTTCCAAAAATGGCAGATGTATGGACCTTTAGTTTACAAATCATGTAGATGTTGAGACATTTTAGGGGTCAGGGTCCCAGAATGTCTCAGCTGCTGCGCTGAGCAGGAGATGGATATCAACCGCAAGTTCAAGAAGGACGGGCCCGGTATCGTTCGTCATTTAGTGTGTCGAAATGGGTTGCAAAATTTCAGATCTTCGAGATTTTTCACAGATTCCATTGAGTTTTCCATAGAGTTTTCCAGCATTGATCTACCCTCTGGTAATTTAACATAGCTATGGACAATCACCATTTTTAGTGGGAAAATCCACTATAAATGGCCATTTTCAATAGCAAACTGTTAGTTTACCAGAGGGTATCACAAAGCATCTAGGCAGACCGGAGATTTCACTGATCTCCCAAGTTCCAATGAGAAACATGGCAGCGACGTGGTCACATCTTCCAACATATGGGGTGGGTTCAAATCAGTCATGGTTCCCCAAATCATCCAAGTGATGAGCCAAGTGTTTTTTTTCAGAAACCCCCTATATCCCCCTATCATTAATGTCATTAGAATCATCATTAATCATTAATCATTAGAATCATCATTAATCATTAATCATTAGAATCAACATTAATCATCAGATATAATCATAATTAATCATCATTTATCATATGTCATGGGGGTTCCCCAAATCATCATTTTAAGATATTTTTGAGGCCAGATTCCTTCAGAGTTTCTCAGGCCTTCTGTGAACCTGGCAACGTGGACTTCTGCCCTCCTGTGAACTGGGTGGAGGCCGCGAGCTCCTGATCTGCTGGGATTTTTTCGATTTGAATAAAATCATAGTAGGATGACTGATAGGATTTCATGGGAATATCGGAATGAATCATTTTTTTTCGACCAACTTAAGATGATTTGGCTGATCATATTGGAACCACAAATTTAGATAATCATCTTGAATAAATGGTGATATGTCTACGATTTTGAGATAGTTTGTTTCATTGATCAACGATGGACTGTTTGGCTACGAGGACTGGTGGTTGCAGATATATACTTTGATGATCTTTGATGAACCATACCCTATATAAACCATACCCTATATAATCCATACTAAGACCATACAAAAAGAAAGATGATTCCCAACTAACCTTGATCGGGTTGAAACCATGAACCAGGGGGGATAAAACAAAAAAAAAACAATGAACTTTCGAGTTTCCAAAGTGCTTGGTCTCGTGGCCTTGCCATGACTTTTGAGTCATGTTTTTGAGGCCTTCTTTAAGGGATGACTTCCAGAATTCGTTTCAAAATGGGAACATCTGCAGCTTCCTGGCCGAATGGCCCACAAACCACTTGGTGGGCTCAAATCATCCACTCGTCTATAAATGGGCCATTGTCAATAGCTATGTTAAATTACCAGAGGGTATATGTGACATATATGAGAATAGATGGCGGTGATTTGCCGTTGTTTTTGTTTGCTTCCGTTGCGACAAAGTCGCGGGTCACGCAGGCTTTGCTTTCGAATTTCAACATGGACGAGTTTGTGGTTGGGAAGCCTGGGATGTTCGGCCGAAGCGGAAGCGGTTGCCTACCCTCTGGTAATGACTAACAGTTCGCTATTGAACATGGCCCATAGAAATAGTGGATTTAATCATTGAAAATGGTGGATCTTTCCATAGTTATATGTTACCCTCTGGTAATTTAACATAACTATGGAAAATCACCCTTTTTCATTGGAAAATCCACTATAAATGGTGATTTTCCATAGTTATGTTAAATTACCAGAGGGTAGTTTACCAGAGGGTATATTGAACTTCGATAGCCTATAATTATGAATTGCGCGGAATGTCCACATCCGAGGTTGTTTTAAACAAAGTTGTGTACATGTAAGAGGCGATGCGAAAAATAGCCTCAGACACAGATACAGTAGACCCTTTCCTCTCTTCTTTTCCTCTTCCCTACTTTTTTGTTTCCTTGATCTTACCTTTATCTTTCATCTTTTGTTTGAAATCGGATTAGCAGCTATACTGTACTTCGAAAAAAAAATGAGATGTGTCAAACCAATTGCACTTTGCAACTGGATCAGACTTGATCATTCTAAAAACCAGAATGCCCGTTGCGACAGTGATTCGTCATGTTCAATTTGAGTTCAACTTGGCATCTCCAAGTTGAGGTGAAAAGGAAAGAGCAGAATGGTGGGGATTTGGAGTATTCCTCCGCGGAACGGCTGAAAGAGGACCGGGTAAACGTTGCTGTGTCGCGACGCCGATCCGACGTCGGATCTTGATTAACGTTGCCCCCACTTACTTGACCAAATTCTGGATCTTCGTTTGTTATGTATGTGCTGTATGATTGTATGTGTATTTATGTTGTTATTATATAATAATATTATATTTATATATACGTATATATATATAACATGATTAAGTATGTTTAACTAAACGCATCTATATAAATCGAAACTCTTAAACTCATTTACTTTCAACTCCTTTTCATTTTAATTTATTTTCTTCATGTCAGAATCAGGGGTCAGGGTCAAAAGTGAAATGAGTCGGAAATGGAATTAAGCCCGTTTTGTTTATTAAAGATAATCGTAGAATTTTGGAGGCACAACAATGCTCTTATTCAAACCCAACAAAACAGAAGTCAATACTGTTGACGAACTGTTTGTTGTTCCGTCCTGTGCCACTAATCAAGGTTCAACATGTCATGTTAATTTATCATAAAACTGATATTCTATGATATCTTCAATGTTTTTGAAAGTTTCTATCTTCAAGTTTCTGTGAGATATTCTATCGAGTGTGCATCACCGCACCCAACGCAAAAACGCCTTGCCCCTTCAGGAGTTTGGGGAAGAGTCGCTTCACCCTGGTGATTTGAAACCATCCTTGGCCAAGGCCATGAACGCTGCCTGGAGGGCCCAGAGTGCTGGCGATGCTCGCGAGATCCGGCCTTGTTTTGTTCCATGTTCCATGTTGGATTGAGGCGATTGAGGTTGTAGAGTTAGCCTCTGGTAATTTAACATAGCTATTGAAAATGGCCATTTATAGTGAGTTTTCCCATTAAAAAATGGTGATTTTCCATAGCTATGTTAAATTACCAGAGGGTAGCTCCGGCCTCTTTTTGGGGTCTCAACTGAGATGCTCATGGCTGAGGCGATGCTGTCCATCCGAGATGGCATGAAGAAAGCTGATCTCAAAAAGGCCCTTCTGCTGTGTGTTTTTGTCTGAACATAAGGTATATATAGGATTACCCATAGGATCCATGTATGGTATATATATATATACTAACATTGGGGGTATATTGATGGTAAATGTTACCATATACAGCATACATGGATCCTATGGGATATAGGACTATCCCCAAAACATGGTGAGTTTCCTACGGAGAAAATTCCAGGTGATTCACTAATGGGATTTTGGGGTTTCCCGAGAAATATCATGGAATAAACAATGAAACATAATGCAATATATCATGAAAACAATCAAATACACATTATACTCATTATATATATATATACATATACATATATATATATATATATATATGTAGCATGTTCTAGCCCTTCGCTGATACGGATATTTCCAGAGTTCTGCGTTTTAAAAAAATGACTTGGCTCGCCTTTTCTTGCAGTCTTGGACTTGGGGATTGCACGAATGATTGCCCCCGTTGTTGAATCAAAAATGTTTTTGTTAAAAAAGGCTACAGCCATTCTGTTGTTATTTTGTAAGTTGAATGGGGAATATTATGGAATATTGTTTTCTGACCCGGAGGCGCAAAAGAAGCTGGACAGCTATGCGAAGTCCTTGCAGAAGAAAAAAAAGTGAGTTCTGCAATGATGACTCCTGCAAAAACCAGTTATAACTGCATTGATACAAACCAAATATGGATAGCTCCCTGGTAAACCGACATGAATATATATATATATTATATATATATATATATGTATTTGTATATATATATATATACTACATATATATTTATGTATTTATATGTTTACAACCCAAGTTACGATATTTACATGTACTTGTATAGCAAAGTGCGTTTACAAACGCATGTAAATTGTGGCTGGCCTATTTGACCTCCCAGTTGGAACACTGAACCAGTTCTGAGTCTGAAGTAACTAGCGAAAATGTAGCAACAGAGTTTGATAGGCAATAATGTCTATATATATATATAATTATATATAATGACTACATTATATGCAGAACATACATATCTTAAACTCTCCAATACTAAAAATAGTGGGTAAAACCCAATGTTTAAATGTACTTGGAGGGTCTAGGTGCATGCATATAGAGAAACAAAACAGTTCTTTGGCTTGTTTCGAGCGTGATCAACATAACTGGTTGCGCAGGGCCTATCATTGAAGGGATGCGCAGGAAGAAAGACTGGTCCAGTCGACAATTCCATAACTTCTGGAAACGATTGTGTTTCAATAAAGTGTTGCAACATTATGGAACCACAACTATATACATTTGTAATAAATAAATGAATATATATATATATACAAATACGTTGATACATATGTATATATATAATATACACATGATAATCTTCCATACCTGTGCATCCTGGTTTGTTTTCCACCTGATTCTCGCTGCCGCTTGCCAACTTTGATTGCAAGGCTTCCCTTGCATTTGTCCCTCCAAGCCATTAGCGTGCTGGCCTTCCAGTTACAACGTTCGGGCGACTTGTTAAAGGAACCATCATGGTACTTTTGAAAACGCAACTGGTTTGGTTGAAAGACGACTCTCTATTTTTGTTGCTATCCCATAGGATCCATGGTGCTGGTATATATATGCTAACATAAAGGGGGTATATTGATGGGATCCATGTTACCATATATGCCAATATATACCATACATGGATCCTATGGGATCCTATGGGTATGTGTGTGAATATGCTACCATGCTGGAAGGACATGTGAATATTTTCGCAGCGGTGGAATGTGTCAGACCAAAATTTTCTCAGAAAAAGTGCCGCTCGGAGTGCAGCTTTTTCAAGTCGATCGATTTCATGGAGATCCACTTGTTTGAAGATATGGCTATGAATCAATACCTATACATACCATTTTTAGTGGGATGAACATCCATTTACCAGCTATTTTTTATGTTCACCAGGGGTACAAGGTTTTGACCCACTGCCATATATTTGTTTGATCAGACATTGATTGGAGATACACTTGTTTGATCAGACAAATTTATTCCACTTGCTCTTTGGCACATAGATTCCACTGAGATTCATTTGGCAGATCCTGAGAACGAGAACACTTTATTTCTTTGCTGCATCATTCATGCTGGAGATCGCGCAAAGTACCGCAAATTGTTAACCTATTCTGCGATGCCAATTGTGAAAGCCAACGGCATTTCAATAAGAACCCAATTTGCAATGGAAATCCCAATTGGAAAATCGTCGCCATTTGTTACTTCACCCATTCCCAAATTTCCAAGTTCTTCAACCTCACTAGGTTGAAGTGACATGGCACCTGGTATGCCTCAAGGAGCTATGACAACGCCCCTTCTCTACTATTCGAAGTCACGCGGAATCGATGGAGATCATTGGCCTGTTGAACTTTTTCAATTTTTGGAAGAGAACAGCCTATTCCTTTCCTACAAGTTCACCAAACACCACCCTTTGGCTGCTTCCCTCATGGCGCAGATGACCGATGTTGGAGCAAGCTCAGGAGAAACTTCATGAGATTTGGTGATTCAAAACTCGGATTTGCCTTCACCAACTTCACCAAGTCACTTCGAAAAGCAAATCACCATGAAAATCGTAGGCCTTGCTGATTCATCCGCATGGAGTGACATGAAGCTGAGGACCCCTAAAAGATGGTGGAAACTCCATAGTCATGGGAGTGAGTACCCCAAGTTCGCTGGATGGTTTATTTCATGGAAAATTCTTCTATACATGGATGATTTGGGGGTAGCCCCATGACTTAGGAAACCTCCAGATGGTTTTGTTCATATTTTTTTTGTCATCTACTGATGGTGTTTGAGCTTCGTCAACGTTCACCAGAGGGTCCCCAAATGGTGGGGTGTGGCATTTTTCTATATATTTTTTTGTGGTGTAGAATGAGATTAAAGCTGATAAAACCTGATAAAACTATGTTGAATGTTATCATTGAAGACATGTTGGATGGGATTTTTATGAGTGTTGTTCAACTTCTGGCCAAAGGTCTCCAAAAAACTCAACAACAAAATCATACAAAATCACTTCACAGATGTGCTGCTTGAATTTCTGTGGCAGGATTGGTTGGCAGATGTGGATGCCGTGTGCAGCCCCGAACCCTCCTGGAGTTTCAGAGACGAGGACAGCCAGCGAAAAATGGGTGCTAAGGCTGAGAAAAAGCTGAAGGTTTCTTTGGAAAAAATATTAAAACATGGGATTTGGATTAGAAAATGGGAATATATTGAATATATCACCAAGTCCAATGGAACGTCATCATTTTCATAGTGGCCATTTGGTGGTATCAATTTCAGAGTCACACCCAGATTGATATTTAATTGCCTTCGGCAAGCCCGTCTGCCATAGAGAGGTGGCCTCAAGGGAGTTTGATGTGCACTCTAGGTGGAAGCCCGCGAGAGAAGCAGAAGAGAAGAGAATAAGAAGAAGAGGAAGAAGAGGAAGAAGAGGAAGAAGAGGAACAAGAGGAACAAGAGGAACAGGAGGAACAGGAGGAAGAAGAGGAAGAAGATGAGACGAAGACAGAGCCGTAGATCAGAAGCAGCTTGAGTAGCAAGCGCCTGCGTGAACAACCTATACTGGTCGATCAGACACGCCGGCAGGCCGGCGGATTTGACCCACGAAACAGATTGGCTGAGAAACTATGGGGGGTGAGCAAAAGGTAGCAGCTATGGATCCTTAACATCACCTGAATATCGGATTATATTTTGAAGTTGTAAGATACAAATGTATCATCAGATATATCCAGCTCTAGTCATGTCTTCCCAGTTAGCTTGTTACATAGATCCTGGTCGATCCACTTATGGGTTTGTCATGGGTTGTACAAACATGGTGGCGGCGCCTGTACTGTAAGAGGCCCGTGACCACAAGGGGGTTCATACCCCAAAATTGCACGCGGAAACGACTGAAATATCTGAATTTGGTGAAAAAAATGAAGGTAAATCTGCTATGTTCATATCTCAAACGCATAAAACACACACATATATATATACAGTATATATATATATATATTATTGGTTCCAGGCCTGTTACGATGTCCATTTTTTGTCTGGCCATGTTCCAATGGTCGACCATAGTCATCATAGTCCCATCTCCCATTGGAGCATGGTCATCCCACCCCTCAGGGTTTTCCTGTACCCCCTGTAAACTAGCGTGGATGTTGAAAACCCAGCATTTAAGTAGATGATTTTCCTACAGGAAATCCATGGATTTTCCACATGTAAAAGTTTACCCTAGGGCCCTAGGGTACCATGTTTGGAAGCCATTCGATTGGTGGGTCATTCCCATGCCCAAAAAAACGAGCCAGGACCGTACCGTGCTGCTATGGGCCCTTGTGCCCGCACCGACACGCGGAGATCGCTTGAAGATGTTGAATCTGAAGCTTGGCTTCCGAGGTCATGGAAAGGACGTGCATGGTGTTGTCTCAGAACTAGATGCATGGGGACATATGCATATTAACTAGGATCTATAGGTATCTATAGACATGATGTAGATACATGTAGATCAGTTTCAAACAGAATAGGGGTATCAAAATGTATCAAAGATATTCAAAGATTAGCCATGCCACAAGAAATGTGAAGACCACACAGCTATAAGTCTGAGGCACTAGGTACCCTCTGGTAAACAAACATAGCTGTTGAAAATGGCCATTGAAATAGTTGATTCACCCATTAAAATGGTGATTTTCCATAGGTTTTTTGTATGTTTTCCAGGCCGGGTACCCCCCCAAAAATGGCTATCCGGGGTGTTCTATCCCAGGTTCTGGAAACTTGACCCGCTGAATTTTGTTTGAGATGTGGTTTGAGCTGATCTTTGACATTGAAATTCGTTGTGGTTAGGAGCAGATTTATCAAACCCGATATACAATAATGATGTATACAGAATATACATATTTATTGTATATCACATTGTTACATCCCCATACTAATCATGATTTGATATGTCGAATGGACTCGAATGGCATATACTATATATAATTATATATACTGGTTGGTGGTTTGGAACATTTTATATTTTTCCATATATAATATATTGGGAATATATTTTTCAGAGGGTTGAAACCACGAAATAGTGTGTATATATATATATATATATTTATGTAGTTATCATCAGGACCCGGCGGGAACACTGAGGAATGGATTGGTGATGGTCGACATCAGGCCGTATCGGCTTGGGAAGTGTTTATTCAAGTAAAAATTGGATAGTTTTTGCGGTCAAACATGGCTAAACGTTACGTGATTTGATATGATTGATTTATATGTTTGTATATATATATATATACATAATTAATTATGTATATATGTATATACTGTATGTGTGTGTGTGTGCGTGTCGATATTTTTTGCAAGAAGGAAACTCATTGTCACTGGATTGGTTGAAGGGAAAATCTAGAGTAAACCATGGATTTCCAAATATGGGGGGTTCCTAGTGACATTGTCAAGAAGTTTGTTGGATAAGGAAATCTTGCAGCGTGCAGTAGCAGATCTTGCAGGGATTGCCTGATAGGCCATAGAAAATGATGGAACATCATAGAATATCATAGGAGAAAAGAACATGGAACATCTAAGCATTTTTGGAAGATGTCAATAATCGTCAACAACTTGTAACTAGTTTTGCCAAGAACTATGATGCTGCTCCG